GTGGTCATGTGCGGAAAAATGCTTTTTTAAAGTGTGCACTTTGAAATGCAACAACAGCAACAATAAGCATTTGTTTCCTGCATGTTAATGGGAGGGAGTGCATACATCTGAGAAAACATGCAGAGGAATGCACACTCTCCCTGTTCAACAAGCCAAGGCACAAGCTGGAAACCACACTGGGCTCTTCTGAGGATTAATGTGTCCTTGCAAATAGCCAGTCCTCCCCTTTCTAGCTGAGAAAAATGTCTACCTGAGACCATGCAGAGCAGCTGGAAGCAACTCTGTGCTACGGGGAACAGCTGTTCGACTCAATACAAAGCAGATTCCTACACTCACAACTTCCCATAGCAGTGGGGTGGTCACAAGCAAAAGAGGTCAGAGGACCTGTCCTGTGCTTCCTTGATGAGCTACATCTGCTGAAATCCTCGCTTCTGTACCAGTATGGGAAGAGCAAGAACTCTGCCCCCTTTTGTATCCAGCCTCCCTACATCCGCCCTACCCATATCTCACTCCCTTAGCTGCACATCCAAAAAAAGCACACAATGCAGAACATGAAAGAGACAGAAGGTTGTGGCTGGCTATCGTAGCCTTTCCATCTCCAGATGGGTTGGATTGCAACTCCCATCACCCCATGTCACCTGGGGGTTAATGATGGGAGCCGTAATCTGATGCTTTTGGCAGGTGCAGGCTTGGGCAAGGCTGCCCTATATTATGACATGACCACACACACCCATCTCCACCTTAGATCCACAAGGCAGAGTTTAATGGACTGGCTTCCTTTCAGCAGCTTGAACAGAAGCAATCACTGCCATTGGCCTTCAGGCTAAAGGCAAAGGCTTTCCAGCATCGTGGACCTGACAAAGCAATGCTAGCAGCCTGGGATATTCAGCTGATGCTTCTTAGTTGGAACTCATCATTAGAAGATTGCTCGGTGGTGCAGAGACCTCTCTGGAAAACCAGGCGCTGGAGAAGCTAACCAGAGAACAGTGCGGAGGGCCTACTTCCCTCCCGCAGCTAAGCATGGTATAGTCTGGGCCGGGCCGGGCCAGGCCATTTTGCTGCCCTAGGCGAAGCACAAGGCGGCACCCAACTCCATGCCTCACTCCAGCATGACTGGCTGTTGAATCCTTCTACCATGCTTGCATTATGAGGAGCCTAAATGCAGCCGGGAGCCACCAGTGGGGGGGGGGGTACGAGTGGGGCAGCCTGCATGGCGCCACCCGTCTGCCCTCCATCAACTCACTGCTCCTTGCTGCCTCCCAGCACCTGCCGTTTGAGACAGCTGCCTCACTCTGCCTAATGGGAGAGCCAGTCCTGAATGGAGGAAGTGTGTGTGCTCCGAGGAATAAGGGCAACCCAATTTGAGCCAGCAGAGGAAGCATCTCACTGAGGCTGCCTGTTAACCCCCAGACTCAGAAGCCTGCAGACATCCTATGCATGGCACAGGAGCGAGGAGGCAAGGGCAGCTCCCACACCCCCTCCGCCCATGCAGGGTGCTTAGATGGCTGGTCTGGGCCATTGCAATGCCTCTCCTTGGAGCTCAAGGGAAGGAGTGTTGGCTGAGCCTGTCCCCTGCCCTCTCCATGCCTAGCAGCCCATCCCCAGGGCTGCCCTTGTGACCTCAGACCAGCAGCTGGCTGGTTCTTTCCACTCCAAGTTCAGTGTCCCAGTTTTGACTTTGGGGCAAGTTTCTGACATTGGTGCTGGGATTCTGAAAACTCCTATGGCTATTTTGACTTGTAACCATGGCACTGCAATGGCTAACACAGAGGAAAGAGCTGAACTTTGAGCTGCAGATGCATAAAGTATCGGAGGACGTAAAGGTACTTCTCCCTGGGATCTCACGTGGAAAGAGTGGCTTTTACTGTTGCTCAATGGTCAAGCTATCCCTCCTCTGCTCCTGCTGAATGTGCATATTTGTAAATGGACTCAGATATTACAAATATGCCATAAGCCCACCTCTTTCCCTAGGGAACAAAGCTCAGGTAAGAACGTCTCCTGGAAATTCCACACTGTCTGAGGAAGTGGAACAATTTTCATAACAATTTTCCAATTAGTCTTTTAAAGCTTACACATACCATCTAAAGAAGTTTATTTTATTGCTATGATTCTAATTTTTATGAAATAATAAAAATAAAAATACATGCTGTAACAAGTTTCATGAGAATTGGTCCTTAGGTGGGAAGCTATAAAAAGCTCTACCTCCATTATTTTTTCTGCTTGATGAGCCCTGTTCCCTGCTGTCTCAGATGGTGCTGGTTTTCACGTCCTTTTATTGTTGCACTTTTCCATAGGTGAGGGGTGGGCAGTCTGTGGCCTGCTGGCTGCTTGGCCTCCAGCCCCCATCATCCCTCTCCACTGGCTGTGCAGGCAGTGGTTGAAGGCAAGTTATTCCTTGACACCCAGGAGCTGAAGCCACTTTATGCTAGGCCTAGGTTGTAGGCCAAAGGGCCACAGATACTAACCCCTGCTCTAGGTAGACCCTGTTGCTGATCGATTTCTAAAAGGCAGCTGCCAGGCCTGAGGCCTACATGGAAACCACACCTTCTGTCACTTCAAGGCCCTTTTGCCTTATTCCTGCCCCGCTACGTGTGGGGACAGGCCCAGGGAAGGCACCTACTTGGGGCATCCTCCTCTTCAGCATTGTGTCTCACATTCCTCTCTGCATCTTGGCACTGCGTGAAAGCAAATTTCTGGCAGGGGCTCCATTTCGGATTTCTCTGTGTATTTGGGAAGGGGTGGGGAGGACTGCAAGAGGCACTGGGAGCTGTGGAAGGAGGAAAGCAAGACTTCCAGCACAACTGAAGTGGTTTCATTTTATACCTTATATCTACAGTAAGATTATCAACGCAGCCCAGAATGTGTTAAAAAGGAGGTGGAGGGTGGGGGGGTTACTGGTGCCCTGTTGACTTGTTCATAATACTAATGTACAGGTCAATGATGGAAATAAGGTATGCGCCCTGAGATCCAGGTGGGCCTCTCCCAGGATGCAGTCTTATTATGAGAATAGGCTATGGGGCAGGGATGAGGCTACAGTGTGGGGCAAAGCTGAGCATATCCGTGGGGATGTATTCCCTTGCATCTGTGCATCAGTTGTCCAGATCGTGTGACATCTGCTGGAGCCAAACAGAACCAGTGTTAGAGCAGAACCGCGAGTCTCTGGCCTAAGCCCTTCTTTTATCCCCTCAAAGCATCTGCTTGTGCAGACTAGTAATTTGAGAGGCTTGCAGGAGATGTTGCCATCCAGTATGAGTCGTGCTCGTAAGAACTAGCAGGCCCAGAGCCCTCTGTGCATCGAAGGTGGGATGGCGATGCAGAAGGTCCCTAAAAATCTGGAATACCGGATATACCGGGGCAGTCAGAGCAAGAGCTGCTGGTCGGATTTGCAGCCACAAATAGGTGCAAGAAAGTTCGTAGTTTCTTCCCTCCTCAAACACTGTACTACCCTGGCTGAGTATAAATAGAAATGTGGCAGCCAGAAACATAAGGGATTGAAACAAAGGGAAATAAAAGACGAGTTTGAATGCCTGGGATGAGAACTCAGCATGTGAGTGGGAGGGAGGTGTTTTCAAGCTAGTATGAGTGCCCCCAAACTTTGTGTGGACCTTAATCCTAAGAAATGATCACTGGAAATCTGAGATGTGAGAGGAAGAAGTGAGGTGCTGTACCTCCTTGACTGCCCTAAAAGATAATCCTGGTTCCAGGGTTAAGCCCTGTGTCAGATTAAGCTCAGGGCCATTCTCTCTCATGTCCTGCAGCTGTGGGGGATTGCTGAAGGGCAGAGGTGCCCTGTAGTACATCAACTTTGCATGATGTATCAGGTCCCAAATTCCACCCCTGGGATCTCTAGTTAGACGGTTCATAGGGCTGACTCATCCTGAGTCCTTGGGGAGCTGATACATTCAGAGACCATCCTGGCCTGGATAAACCAATGCTTTGACTCAGCATTCGGTAGTTTCATGGGTTTATATGCTTATGCAGCCTGGGGGGCAACAAGTCACATGACTGAGATAGATCGGGGATGCCGAAAGGGGATGCCTAAATCCCATGGAAAGTCCAGTATAGAAAGCACCCTTAGCAGACTTGCAAATGCACGAGATTTGTGTTTGAGTAAAAGGAGACAATGAGAACAGCATGTTGAAAAATGTCAATTGCTCTTTATTTGTCATGCAGCCTTGCATGGTCCATAGCCATTAGAACAAAGCATTAGAATTCAGTTACAGTTACAGTTTGTAAAACAGCAGCAGCAAAAGCAATCACCTTTTCCAATTTTGTTTTCACTTCAAAGGAAAGCATCAAAGAATTGTTTGGCTAAAAAGAAAGAGAGAGAGACCTACACATGTTGGAGCACAGGGTGGGAACAGATCTTAACCAAACAGAACTATTTACTTTTGACAAGAGTTGATAGTTTTGTAGGTCATCACTTTATACGGTCTCTGTTTCAAATGACAAAGGACATGCTCAAACAGGAGAAAATATTTCAGAAAACTTGCTGTTTTGGGACTAATCTGTTTAAATTATTAAACTAAATTATTTAGTTGTCTATTAAGTGTGGCATGAAAGCTGTTAATTCAGCAAAGAACTTTTAGTACACATTACAGGAACCAAGGATGTATTTAACATTAATGATCTGCTTAATGTTTTTCCTTCCTTTTTTTCTTTTTATACACACATAGCAAACTAGAGTAAGGATATTGATCAAATAAAATGGATCATTTAGCAGCTTCCTAGATCTTAGGCTAGCAGAAACAGATCTAGTGTAACTTTGATCCTCCCTCAAGAGAACACTTGGAATTACCCTGCAGATGTGGAGAAGAGCTTTGTTGACACAGCTGGATTGCATAGTTTGTTTAGGGGATGCCTGAACCAAACCTTTGCCTAATCCTTGTATCCACGTTGCACAGACGGCCCATTCTAACAGCATTTCTGCCCAGAGACACAAACAGCTCTCCCACTGATGTAGACAGAGTGACCCTTTTTAAGAGTTCTGTAGAGGGTTCACTTGATGCGGTCAGCTCTCTTCTTTCACAGCCTACCTGCTGCAGCTGAACCCGGTTGTATGGAAAAGGTGAAACTTGTATGGAAAAGGCAAAAGTATCAGAGGGGAAGAGCTGTTTGCTGAGCTATTTACACAATGGGTTGGAGAGCTTTGACTGGCAGCTGGCGATGCGATTTGCCCTTCTGGAGGGGCCCAACCTTTAATAGATGGCTTTCTTGCTGGAAGTGGTTTTTGATACAATTTTCACACTGGAGCTTCCTCCACCGCTGGAGATGCGGCCACCTCCAGTGCTGTAGCTGCTACCACCTCCCAGGCTAACCCCAGAACCCAACCCGCCTGCGCCGTAGCCGCCACCACTACTCATGGAGTAGCTGATGCTGCCACCACCACCACCTCCGAGTCCTCCTCCGAGTCCTGCTCCGAGTCCTCCTCCGAGTCCTCCTCCCAGCGCAAGGGAGCTTCCTCCTGCAAATCCAGTGGAGGTGGTGTTGCTGACCACAGCTGAAAAACATTTTCAAAGAAATGGTAAGTTTCTTCTACAACTTCAAAGGAATTATCAACTTCAGAATCTTCTTTAGCAAAATAAACAAACAAACAACCCCCCCCTCCAAAAAAAACCCCTTAGAAATCAAACTGTTACTTACAGTAGCTCACATTTCCAACACCTTCTGCCAGCCTAGGAGTAAAAAAAGAAGAAAATAATATAATTAATTAAGATAACTTCTCTGGGTATATGATGTGGGGAAGTGGGTTGTTAAAATTCTGCCTCCGGCTATGTTTAAATTGTACATTGGTTAATAAACACAAATGTTACAAATGTGCCATAAGTCTCCATTATCTCTCCTTCCAAAGAAATCCAAACTTGGGTAGGTTCAGTCCTTAGACCTTTGCCTTGCTCAGGGGAGTGGGGTACACATATCAATGTATAAGATACAGAATTACACAAGTTGCAATAAAGAAACATCACGCAAATGGGAAGGGAAGGGAAGGGAAGGGAAGGGAAGGGAAGGGAAGGGAAGGTTGTGGCAAAGGTGTAGGTAATACCTAAATATTTATGGATTCTTGCAAAATTCCTCCAATGCAACGCTATCACCTTCAAGCCTACCTTAAATTAGCATGAAAAATACCGCAGGATAACAGGGTGTGATGTTTCAAGGGTATCATGTAGAAATATGCACTTCCATTGGCACTTCAGTCAATGAGTACACTGGAGTAACACTGCTGAGGGCTACCTGTTATATGATTGGTCCACTGACAAATAAAAGTTTAGAAATTGTGCCACCAAGTCATGATAGTGTAGCTGGAACCAGCAGGGAACCCAACTGATGTTAAGGTCTGTTTACACAATGAGACAACATAGTCTTGAGATGTAAGCTGCAGCTGAACTTTGTCCAAAGTGAAATTTGAGATGAAAGGTGAAGCCTCTGAAGGAGTACTCAGTTTTCATTGTGTGTGTGAGTGTGGGGTGGGAGGGTGGCATTGAAAGAAATAAAAAGAAAGGCTAAGGTCTATCAGTTTAGGAAGCTGTCAGGGACATTTCTCAAGAGCTTTGTTCCTTGCTCCTACCTGATTTCCTCTCCTTCCAGCAGTTTCCTGTAGGTGGCGATCTCAATATCCAGGGCCAGCTTGATGTTCATCAGCTCCTGGTATTCCTTGAGTTGTCGTGCAAGGTCCTGCTTCGATTTCTGCAGGGCTTCCTCCAATTCATTCAGTTTGTGCCTGGCATCCTTGAGGGCAAGTTCTCCACGATCCTCAGCCTCAGAAATGGCTGCCTGAAGATTGGCACACTGGGGATGGGGAAAAGACAAGAAAGCTGATGATGATGATGGAAGGGCAGTCTACAGGATAATTCTCAAATAATGTTTGATAGCAACTTCTGGGTGCTACTCCTGAAATGGCTGTAGAGGAGACATCCCCAAGAAATGGTTGCAATGTGGTCCACGTGGCTCTTTCAGGAGGAATAAGCCTTCTAGCCACCACATTCATGAGTAAGCCCAGTAAAATGCAGTGGATGATCAGCTGTTGAAGCAAACCCTGACCCCAAAGCATGGACCTGCAACAAGAGCTTCTGCAACTATAATGCCATTTGCGTAATCATGGACACAGAACCCAGGGGCGGAAAACTTGTGGCTTTCCATATGTTGTTAGTCTACCACTTCCATTAGTCTCAGCCACCATGGCCAGTTTTTTGAGATGATGGGTGTTGTGGTGGAACAACATCTCAAGGGTCGCAAATTCCCCAACCCTGTTGTGCTGGCATGCCAGATTACATTATCATGTGCCAGAACGTGTAGCCTAATAGATGCATTGTCTTCACTGTGTGGGTTGCTCCCATTGGCATTAGAAACAATGAAAGCAGAAGTGCTGCAGGCAGTTTGATTAAGTGCAGTTTTGCAATATTTCATGCGCAAAATTGTATGCCTCTACAAGTCTTCCACTGTAAGTGTGGTGTTGCCTCTGGATTTACTGTCTTGCCACCTCCTTGCCTACATTTATGCCTTCAAAAGTATTTCAAAAGCAATGTTTCCAATGGAAACATTTTCCAAAGTCTATAATCTATCTCCTCCAATTTGTTTATACTGAAAATATAGAAACTATTCAAATGTTGGCTCATGGTAGCCGAGTATACACATATATAAAACCAAAGTTAAGAATAAAGTTCGGAAATACATTTCCAAAAAGAAAAAGAGAAAGCAATGATTTCTTAATTTCTAGAGAGGCAGTTGTATTACTATACCGTGGCCAAAACAACAGAGTCTTATACCATAACATTCACAAATATATTCTAGAAAAAACTTCATGGCATAAACTTTAATTCTACTGTATCTATTTGTTGCTATGGGCTATCATCCACAAACGTTTGGGTCGCAATACATAGTTTCTGTGATAGCAGTGACTTTTCCTAATGTCTCTGCCGTGCCTCAGGAAAATTACTTCCAGTGGGGGACACACATGTGCTCTCTCACACGCAGTTGTGGGAGTGCAGGAGGTGGCAATCACAATACTGAGGTCAGAGATAACTGAAATGCAGTGGTCGTGAGCATTCTGTGCACTTTGCCGACTGGGGCAGAAGAATGATGAAGGGAATCCCTGGGAGATATTGGAAAGTCAGTGATGGAGGTCCGGAGTCCAACTCTTGTGCAACTGTGCTGGGACACAGTGCAATGAGAACTGTATTACTAGCAATGCTAACAGCAAAGTGTCGTGTGGAAGTAGAAAAACTAGAAATGGTAAGCCTTGATTTTATGTGGTGCATGAAAAACCAAGGTTTAGAGGAACATGCATTTTCAGCCTAGCTTACAGTTTAGAGCTTGGTTCGTTTCAGTTTCATTTGTTGTCAGTGATTTAGAACCAGTTTATAGAACCCACACAATCAGATAGTTGATCTTTTTTCTCAGCTGCACCACATAGGACTGCTTGGAGAGGGAAGATGGATATTTTAATACTTATCAGAAAGACCCTTCTCCGCTTTAGCATGGAAGAGTATGCAGTGAAGCCTTCTCCCTGATTTGCTTCTTTTCTACATGCAGGGAGTATCCTAGGCTACCACACAGAAAAATGCCTGGTTTGTCCACTGCAAGTGAAACAAACCGATTACTCAGCACTGTATAAAGCACAGCAGTTCACCAGCCTGCCTTGTGCATTAAGCAGCAAGTTGCATCCAACTTTTACCTGCTTCTTCAAGGCATCAATTTCACTCCTCAGCCTCTGGATCACCCGGTTAAGCTCAGTGATTTCTGTCTTTGTACTGCGAAGGTCATCACCATGGCGCCCAGCGGAGACCTGTAGCTCTTCATACTAATTTGGAGCAAACAAGAGCACAAGAAAGATAGAATTTCAAACATTATATAAAGTTATCATCATGAGGACACAAAGGAAAAATGCCCAAAGGGTGGGGGCTAAACTTATTCCCCGCTCTCGCGGAGCACCCGTGACAGAGATTGTTCCTAAGTGCATGGCTCTTCTTATGGCATGCATACCAGAACCATCTGCCTGTTCCTTGGTCTTACTAGCTGGAGTGTGGTGGAACGGCTTTCAGAGAGGCAAGACGGACACTGGAGGAGAGATGGCTAGAACGCCAACCCTACGGAGCTGCCTACAGAATTCCACATGGCCACAGGCCCAGCCCTTCTCCTTCTGGAGCACCAGTAAGGAACGGGCCATATTTAGTCTCGAGCAGAGAAGAGGAGAGGTGTGATAACACCTTTCAGGAACTTAAAGGCTTGTGCAAGGAACATGGCTGTGACCTGTATTCTATCCTGCAAGACACAAAATAGTGGCCTTAAATTGTAGGAAGGCAGATTTCAGTTGAAAATCAAGAATTTCTTCCTAATGGCCGGAGCAGTCAGACAATCAAACAAAGTGTATCTTTCAAGTATTCTTCCAGGTTAGGCTGCTGCTGCTGAACCTTCACTTCCACAAACAGTAAGAATGACCGGAGAAGTTTTGGACCCTGAGGAGGTCCCTCCCTGCTTCCTTCCAGTCAAAAGGGGCAATAATTAAAGGAAAATCCAGTGCATGATTAGGCAAAAATAATTCCTACACGGTGTACACAGGGAATTGTAAGTATTATTTCTGCCGAACAAGCATAGCATGGAGTCCTTAATTACTTGTGACTGGCCGCCTGAGACATGCACTTCCTTCTGCCTGAACTGGCCAAGAGTGGAGGAGGGAAGCTTTCATGGCTCCCCAGCCAAGGAGTTCCGGATTTATCTATTTATTGGATTTTTCGCCTGCTGCATTAGCCGCATGGCTCCCTGAGTGGGCTATGAACAATAACCTGCTTTGCTACTCTTCACCCAGTTCCATGAGTCTTTCCTGGACTCCCATCGTGCCGCCATGTCCTTTCACATAGGGACACCTGCTCAGTCAGGACCGGCCAGGCTTGGCCATCTGTGCCTTTTGTTCATGGGAGGGGTAGGCTGGGGCCCCACCAGGCTCCCTGGCATTCTGGTGCAGCCTCACTGCTTCCCTCCCCATCTCCCAGAACATCCCGCTGGCGCCGGCTCCAAAGCTGGCCTTTCCTCCTTGGAGCTGCGGCCAGCCCGGGAAGAACCTACCGACAGCGAGGGCAGTGGAGGGTGCCTTGCCCTGGCACTGCAGCCTTTCTTATGGCCACCTGGAGAGCGCCTGAACGCCAGAGGACAGGGTCCTTACGGCCTTAGCTACTCACCTTGCTTTGATACCAGGATTCCGCCTCAGTTCGGCTCCTGTTAGCAATGTCTTCATACTGTGCCTTGACCTCAGCAATGATGCTGTTGAGGTCCAGGTTCCTGTTGTTGTCCATTTGGAGAACGACGGAGGTATCCGAAACCTGCTGCTGCATCTGAGACAGTTCCTGCACAGGAGAGAAATCTTGCATCAGAACTTGTGGGATTAAAAAAAAAAAAAAATCAGATTTGCTTTGTTTTGTTTTGTTTTGTTTTGATTCAGTCTGATTTATTTGATGTTTATTTATTGTTTTACACAGTATTACTGTCTTAATTTGTTATTGGATGTTATTAGATGTTTTAAATTGTTCTTTTAAATTGCTGTTAGCCATCCTGAGATACTTATATAAAGGACAGCATACAAAAGTTTTTAATAATAATAATAATTTGAAGAAAGTGGTGGTTAAAAATGGGGGAAAACTAAGCAAAATCCTCCTAGCTTAGATGGGGCTTGCAAGGATTCCAATGTATACTAAGATTCAAATTTCACCCCTCTCAAAATGCCCTGTTCGGGATTTTATTTGATTTAGCGATTCTCCATTATTGTCCCTTTCACATTGCATTGTGGTACTTTTACACCTTTAGTATTTGAGATTTTAGCATAACTTAATTTCACAGTCAACAAAAGAACTGCTTTTGAAACATAAGCCTCCCATATATTTCTGGCAATCTGCAGCTTTTTCCACCACTTTCATACATTGAAATACAAGGAATAAACATGATCAGGCAAGCTCATATCCCTTGTTAATGAGCAAATTGAGGGGGAGGGGAAGAAAGCACTTGTGGTTTTATATCACTGTTATTAAATTCTAAGTGTGGCTTCCCTTATTTGGCATTAGTATTATATTGGCATCATTATTACTGTTATTATTCCTGACAGCTGGAAGCTAAACTCAAATTGAATAGATGGTATCATTTACAAATGTTTCCCAATGAAAATTATTAATATGACTTGGAGAGGTTGCCAAGAGAGGGGGTGGATCTTTTCAAGCCCAGACTAGACATCTTCCCAAAGGAGAAGCATTATTCAGAGACAGATTATCTGCCTTGATCCAGTAATAGCTGGTGGAACTGGTGCATGTATTGCACAAGATGTGACAATTAATGTCACTGAGTCTCTGCTTGCCTTAAAATCTATTCATCTCATCTAATAGATTAGCAAAGGCAGGTGGAAACAGATAGGCATGTACAAATCCCCATGGGAACAGCTGCATTTCCTAAGGAAACTATGTTCTCAAAGTTTCCATAGTGAAGCACCTATTTTTCTCATCTTAAACTTGCCAGTGTGAACATCTTAGGAGATTCCCACATGCCCTGCTCTACCACTGTTGTCAGAAAACAAAGCAATGTTTATTTTTTATTGGCATTTAGCCTGTTTTGTTTGTGAAAGAGGTAATGTCACTAACTTGGAATTGTTTTTGTCACGCCTAATGTCTGAGAAGCAGGTGAGCATACTTCTGAAAGGAAGACTCCAAATCTGAGTCTTCAAGACTGTTCTCTTGAACCCAGTGGAGCAGTTTCCCAATCCTATATTCAGAGCCATTCAGTGTAATATAATCTTAAATTCTAAATATGATAAACAATGTTTTGAAAGGTCTGGGGAAGGAGGCTTCATTTGTATCAATAAAAAAATCTCCTTTCTGAATTTCCAGGGGAACCATTTTGGAATTCCCTCTTCCATTATATCTCTAGCCAACTTAAAAACAAATCCAAACTTAAGAGAACTGGCCATGAAGAAGGAATTCAATTATATATTCCCAGTTACAGCTGCTCCAAGGGGGTCCAGGGTTCATTGTCTTTACGTTCTGCAGTGGAACCATAGTTCAGTGCTTCGCTGCATATTGTTGAAAGCCCCAGCTTCTGTTCCTGGTTTCTCCAGTTAACAGGGCTTAGAAAGATATATTAGAGCGATATGGGCACTGGCCAGAGTGGACCACATTGAGTTGGATGCTCTAGCGTCCATTTCAGCTCTAAAAGTTTATTTCTGTAGTGCCTAATGGAAGAAAATTGATGTGTTTGGAAGATGGTACTGGAGGAGAACCTTGCAAACACCCTGAACTGACAGAAAGACAAACAAGTGGGTGGATTAAACCAGATTTTTCCCTAAAAGCAAATATGACAAATGGGAGGCTGTCATACTTTTGACACATCATGAGAAGCTAAGACTTCCTGGAGAAGACTATCATGCTAGGGAAAGTCAAAGGCAGAGGAAGAAGAAGAAGAAGAAGAAGACCAACCAGGAGATGGATGGAAATGATAATGGAAGTCACAGCTTTTGATGCAGAATGTAGAAGCAGGAATGTCATGCACAGGGTATTTTGGAAGGCTTTTCTTCACGGGCTTGCCCTAAATTGGAGATGACTTGGTAGCACATAAAACGATAAAGAAACATCCTCACCAGATGGTACAGTGCTTTCAGGAACTCAATTTCATCATTGAGAGCATCTGCTTTGCTACCAAGTTCAATCTTGTTCATGTAGGCTCCATCAACATCCTGCAGGAAATAAGGAAACAATCACATTTGGATGGAAATAAAACTCACTGAGAAGGACATTTTGAAACAATGCAGCAGATTTCAGTATTTCCTTTTTAATCTCATGAAGAATGCAACAGTGTGGCCATTAATTGGATTTCTGATTTGGTTCGTTTGGACTCAGCACTTCTTAAGAAAGCCCAAAATACATTTTTGAATGTAGGAATGATCCAGGTTTCTACAGACTTGACAGCTCTGAGCTAGGAGATACAGTTCTGAGCTTTGCTTGGATACAGCTTGAGGTGACTGCTTTTTATACTATTGTCTTTTCTGTGATGAGAAAAGTAACATTTACCTTCTTGAGCACCACAAATTCATTCTCTGCACCTGTACGTTTGTTAATTTCATCTTCATATCTGTTAGGACAATGAAGAAAAAAAAGTGGCATTAGTAACCTCAATGTGAGACCCCAATTTAGCAAGTAGAAGCAAGGTACACCAAGATAGCCCTTTGTCCAGTAAGCAGATCTTCTGTCCACACTTCAAGAACATTCTCCAGGACATTCTGTCTGTGATGATGGGCTGGATTTTTACCCCCTTGAAGATCTCCCTAATTTGTTCTTTCCAGGTATTAATCCTTGCAGAAGCACCATCTGGCACTGACTAGACCATGATTAGGACTTCCACTGTGGAGTGACAGATTTACAGCACCCAAAGCTGGATCCACAGCCAGGCACCTGCTAGTGGAACAGACACCCGTAGTAGAACGGATTCATTCACTTTGTTTAGATAGGTTTGGCAAGAAAAGCATGTTATTTTAAAGGCATCCTCTGATGAAACTTCATGACTGCGGGCCAAATCAATCCAACTAGTGGGCAGGGTGGAGCTGGCATTAGCTAGAGAAAGCCTGGAAGTATTTGTGCTGGCAGGTTTATGCGAAATAGTTCGGTGCCAGACTTCGCACTGGTTTATTTTGCCCTCCAGCAAATGGATTTCAAAAGGTATGTAAGTTTGGAATAGATAAAAGAGATAATGGAATGATAAAAAGGTGTTCAGAGCAGTATTGCGATGTGATTAGCAGAAACTAGGATAATGCATTGTCTGTCTAGCTAATCACTCTATGCATATTATAGCTATTGCAAGTTGTCTGTTGTAAATCATCTTATGCATTTTGATAGAAAAGTGGTACTTATGATGTATTAATCTATCTCTTCTAGCTACCCTATATCACCAATGGCCTCTGCCCAGTCTTGAACAGCAAAAACTTTTATTGACTCAAGTGCAATGACTGTTCAAGCAGAAGGAAACATGTGGATACAATTTTCAAAGTAATGTAATGTTCTTTGTAATGTGGTATGTGTATTCACATGCCCTAGCTGTTCTATTTTGATCCAGTCAAGCAGAGCAAAATTTGGCTCTCAAATAACCAGAAAAGAAAAGAGGCACTTTTGTGTGCTGTGCAGATCCCAGTTACGGCAGCTCAGAGAGGAGCAGTGGCTGCCCGCAGGATTTTCCCCGATCATTGATTTTTGAACATTTTGCTTGCTTGGCATTTTGAGATGAACTGAATGTGCCGACTATTCAGATTCACGTTGACCAGTGTATGCATTCAGAATCGAGCTGACCAATATATGTGTTCAGATTTTTACCATATCTAAGGCAGCAACCCTATTCAAACTTACTTTGGAGCAAGCCTGGAGCAAGTTCAGAATTAAAAAGCACAGGATCGGGCTGCACATCCAACAATAAATGTTGAACATTTATTTACAGATATGTTAGACTTAATGTCCCCCTTCATGTGTTCTAGAATGGACAGATTCTTACTTGTTCTTATAGTCCTCCACCATATCTTGCATGTTCCTCAGTTCAGAGTCCAACCTTGCCCGGTCATTTTGCAGAGCATCCAGTTGCTTCCTGAGACCGGCAATATATGATTCCATAAGGGGTTCGATGTTGCTTTGCCGAACTGTTATCCCCTGCTGTTGTAACAGATCCCATTTGGTTTCAAGGACTTTATTTTGCTGTTCCAGGAATCGGACCTACAAGACAGAATAGGAGGGGAGTTGGTAATGCTCTAAAGATTATAAATGATGTAGAATTCCACAGGAAAGAAGAGGAAAGACTGTTGAGTGAGACGGAAATGGAGACAATAGTACATAGAATGATACATGTCTCACTTGGATTACTCCACCCTTTAGTTCTTATCCCCTATTAAAACAAAGCTGAAATCATGAGTCTTCTCATGTTAATCTCTTTTTCCTCCTGCCTCTCTCAATTGTCTATTTGTCTCTTGTTCTTCCTGTCAAGGAGATTGTACACTCCTTGGGAGAGGGAGCAGTGTAAGTGTGGTGTGGGTAGCTAGAGTGTTGGACTGGACATCCGGATATTAGGTCCCCACTTGGCCATGAAGTTCAGCGGGTGACTTTGAGCCAGTCACAGGCTCTCAGCCCAACCTACCTCAGAGGGTTCTTGTTGCAAGGGTAAAATGGAGCCCAACTACCTTGATTTCCTCACAAGAGAAAAAAGGATGGGGTATAAATACAATGTAATTATAATTATAAGGATCTAAGAACATAAGGCCAATGTTCCACTGAGCCCTTCCTGCATTCTGTTTCTGCAGGGGCCAACTGGTTGCTCACAGAGTCCCACAAGGAGAAGTTCTCCCACCCATGTTCCCCAGCACTGATGCACATGGGTGTATATAGCCTCTCCTTCATGAATTTCAGCACCACCCACATTGGTGGCCATCACTACATCTTGTGGAAATAAAAACTGGCTGGGGAGAAAGGCAGTCTTTGCTGGAAATTTGGTTGCTGCCAGATTCCCAGCAAGCACACAATGATGATGAAGATATTGACAACCGTAGTAAGTAAAATGAGGCCGAAACATCCTCAAGTGATGTACATGCTTGTTCAACAGGAAGGGAGCTGCTGCTCCAGGGAACATGGAAAGGTCTGTTCTTTGCACACACTCACATTCATCAGCAAACTTTCAAAATCGGGTTTTGGGAGATTTGATAGACAGATAGACAGACACACACACACACACAACTTTTTGATCTTGCTAAGCCAGCTCCCAGGAAACTCTTGCTCTGATGCCATCACACTGGCTCTCCAGTCTCTCGAGTCAGTTGCAAAGAGTTTCATTGCTTCATTCAAAGCATAAAGGAGCCATAAACAGGTGGGGTGCTCCTCTTCAGAAATGAAGATCAGGCTGTGATATGGACTGCAGAGTTTAGTCTTCAGTTCTCTTTCTCTCAGTTCCTCCCCAGCGATTTTTCTAGCTGGCATCCTTTTCTTCAGCCATGCAGAGAGGATTTAGAAGCACTCAGAAGCCTCCAGGAATAGGCAACCTCTATCTGCAGTTAGCAACAAAGCATCTACCCCTGGTCTCCCTTCTCACAGGCCAGAAGTACCATCTATTTTTGAAAGAGATTTTTGAAGGTTTTCCCCAGGATCTTTGGAGAAGCCCAGATGGCATGAATAACATGAATTAAGAAGAGTAGCAATAATGAATTGCCTTGTTTTATGTGCAGTCACTCATAAGGACACCAGCCCAGACTGCAGGTCTCTCGATTGATTGGGCAGATTCTCCACACAGTAGCCATGGGGCTGGAAATATATTCTGTTCTTCAGCCCTCCACTGAAGAACGCCCATGTCCATGAAGCTGAGGCATTGCCTGGCAGCCCCGCCAGAAGCGGAAATGCTGCTGGACCATTCATCGTACATGCTGACAGCCCTCTTGGTTTCAAAGCAGGGTCACTGAGTGGCCAAAAGGAAGGCAATGGACTTCCAGCCAATACTTTACAAGGCAATCATGGGTTTGTATGCTGTCTGCCAGTGTCCTGCGTTTCCAGCCCCGTAACCAGGAGGCAAGTTGAAAGTATTGACTCCTTGACAGCAAGAGCCATGGCTCAGCAGCCGAGGGCATGTTTTGCCTGCAGAAGGTCCCTGGTTCATTCCTTGGCATTTTAAGATTGGTCTGGGAAAGATTCCTGCCTGAAGCCCTGGAGAGCCATTGCTGCCGGTCAGTGTCGACAATACTAGACTAGGTGGAGCAAGGCTCTGGCTGTGCCTAAGGCAGCTTCCTAGGCTCCTATACCTTTAGATGACGCTAGGAGTGGTTGCCCATTGTTACTCATGTGTCTGCTTTGGATGTGGCCTCACAAAGAAGCAACCACATCCTGTATAAAAGTGATTACCTTGAAAAGGCATTCTATGGGCAGAATGACATTGCAATGAGTCAGCTCAGATTTAATGTCTCAAAGGCACAAACTCTCAAGGAGGTACTAATCCGTGCACTTACCTTGTCGATGAAGGAGGCAAATTTGTTGTTGAGGGTCTTGATCTGTTCCCTTTCTTGAGTGCGCACCCTCTGAATCTCTGGGTCGATCTCAAGGTGGAGAGGTTGCAGGAGGTGCTGGTTGACGGTCACCTCTTGGATGCCTCCGGGTGGACACACTGGGAATCCTGGGCCAGCTCTTCCAGGAAAACCTGGTCCGGCCATCACAAAGCCAGGCCCTCCAAAACCAAAGCCACCACCGCCACCTGCGCCAAGACCAACACCATAGCCAAAGCCTGCTCCTGCACCAGCACCAGCACCTCCACCAAAGCCACCTCGGTAGCCTCCGCCCATGGTACTATAGGAGATTCGCTTGCTTCCGCCCAGGTTGTACAGACTTCGGCTGCCAAATCCACCACCGACTCCATAGCCACCACCACCTCCTCTTGCTCCTCCAACCCGAGTGACGGAGTAGGAGCTGTAGCTCGATCTCCCACCACCACCACCACCACCACCGACAATTGCAGAGCCAGAGGTGAAACCTCTGCTAGTTCCTCCAGTGGATGCTCGATAGGATACGCGACTCATTTTGCTTTTGTTCCAAGAGAAGGTTGAAGAAAGGTGTTGTGTATAAGCAGAGGCTGCGGGGAAAGAGCGGAGTACGAAGAAGGCAGAACCCCTCTGATGCAGAGGAGTGGGAAGCCTCTCCTTTTATCTGTTTGGGAAAGGACCTGGCACAGGATCCAAGGCAACCTGAGATACATGCTTGATGTGCCTTGCAGCAACTTGTCTCATTAGACGTACCCACCCCAGTCGAATTGAAGGCGTGTCTGTGTGGCGGGGCTTTGTTTGCAGGGAAGAAAGCAATGAAGTCATAAACATTTTCCAAAGTGTGTGTGTGTGTGTGTGTGTGTGTGTGTGTGTGGAGGGGGGAGTACAAGAAAGAAGAGGCATGAGATTCTATTAACTGCAGTTCTGCACATGTACGTCCAGGAATTGCATTGGGCTTTTTTTTTCTATTTTGCCCAAGGATGGAAACTATCATATTGAAAGAGCTGATGCACGTGAAATGTGACAATGGGACTGCTATGAACTCATTAGGAGTTGTCTTAGGGCGCTTGGTGAGCTTGGCAAGTGCGAGCCGGGCAACTGTACCTTAAGCAACAGCTTCCCTAGCAATAAGGTCTTCTTTCTCTTGACTTTTATATGCGTGTATGTAGGGGTGATGCCTTTGGCAGATTGATCATGGGCAACCACGGTCCCCCCTTTGCGAGGCTGAGCATAACCTCGCACAGCAAACTTCACGGTTCCTTCACACTGTACTTCACTGCAAAATTGTGGGAGAACTTGACCATGTGGAGCTGCCTTCTACGGTTACGGGAGTCTCACGAGGCAGGTCTGGGAATGTCCCAAAGAATGGATGGCAGCCAGAGTAGACATTCTCAGACTAGGTGCACCACAATTTGCGGTGAGGGTGAGGCAGCTTCACATGTTCAAATCTGCAGTTATGTGGGAACTGTGAAGAAGTCTGAGTGCAACCTGGTAAAGCACGCAAGTTGCGTGCATGTTTCAAGAGATCTCCGATTCAGTTCTTTGAATCCCCAGTGTCCACTCTGGTGGGTATCAGCTCTATGGGGGCTTTCTAAGCCTTGTCTCATGCTACATACATACATGAGCTCAGGAAGACTGCACCACGGAGCTTCTGAGCTGTGCTTGCAACACTGCTCTCTTCTACTGAGCTTAGACTTCTTGATGAGTTGCATGGGTGAGATGTGGTTTGCACCAGGTCCTCTGAAGCCTGGAGCTCTGGCTTCTCTTTGAGTCTATACCTCTTCAAGGTACACGGTTTGCATTTTTTTTTCCAGAAGTAAATCCAGATTGTGTTGTGCTGGATGGACTCCTAGTAAACATGATCAGTTTTTTTAGTATCGAAGCTGCTGAACATTTAGCTATAGCTGAGCCATCTTTGCACATTGCTAATCATCTTTGCATGAGATTTCTTTGTGCTATTAGAAGACGGCTAACTGAAGCTGAGAGACATCTCCCCACGAGGGTCAGAGAAATCCTAGGATCGCTTTTGCCCAGGAACCAAAAAACAAGAAAGCCAAACAAATCCTAAAATTGCTTTTGTTCAGGAACCCAGCATTTTACAACAGCAGCTTAAAATCAGTCGCTTAGTGCAAACTACCTGCATCAAGCTGGATTGTCTCCAAAGAGCCCCCACCATGTCTCTGAATTAGACGATTACCTCATATAACAAAATATCACATCTTATCTTATTTCTAGCTGTTTTCCCATGGACAGGCTCCTTGTGGGGGGGGGGGGGTTGGGGGGCAGCTGTCCTTGTCTGGAGATGTCGAAGCTCCATCCTGCATTTCAGATCTTGTATTGAGCAGTGGGTGGGAACAGATGAATGCCAGGTCATTTCCCAGGCAATAAATACATAAATAAATAAATTCTGCGATTCCTTCTGTGCTCTCTGAAGAGACGAAGGGGTTGCAGTGTTAATGGATTATGTGTTCTGTCTTAGCTCTTTTCCCTGGCTGAAATATCAGTTCTCCATTGACTCTTAAAAGAAGGAAAACCAAGAGTGAAATGACATCTCTGGCATAAAGACTTCCCCAAGATATCTTGCTTTTGATCACTTTAAGCCTGATTTCTTATAGCTTGGTTTAAAAAAAAAAGAAAAAGAAAATAAATGGCTCCATTTTTGAGAGACACGGTTGGTCCTGTCAATCTAAAGACTTCAAACAAACAAAAAATGATATGTTACTAAAACGTTTGTGACAGCTCGTGGAGAAAAAAAAATCTATTTTTCATTTTTTTAAAAAATTGAATATGTCAGCATTCTCCCATCCTCCGGTATGTTGGAGTTTGCTCATTTTCAGTATAGCTACAGGCAGAAAGAGGGAGGAGGCGGGGGACAATTCTGTCCGTTTCAACTTCTGTCAGTTTCTCATTTTTCAGTCTTCATTTCATACCAAACACTGGCAATTTCTCCAGTCTTAAACTATTCAGAACTCTACAAAAATACTTCTTTAAAAGCTTGTATGAAAATCCATATTTTTTCGTGCACCTATCTCCTAAGACATGCATTTTTGTATGCATGTTTTCCTAATACCCACATTTTTACAAGCAATTTTCCTAATAGAATGCATTTTGAAGGTCATTTTTCCCAAAGGTGCATATCTTTGCAAGCATTTTTTTTTTTTTTTGGTCTGAGAACGCCACTGAATGATTTGGAGAAGGGCGTGTTTTGATGGATAACTGAATGTGCTTGAAAAAACAAAAATAGCTAAGTTCAAAGTAAAATACGAACTGAATAAATTCCCCCCATCCTGCCCCCTGCCACACAGACGCACTCCCATTTCTGAAGACGCCTGGGTGGTGAGGTTCCAAAGCTGATGGTTGGGAAATTGTAATGTCGGTGTCATTAAGTGCAAGCGGTTGACTGTGAGAAATCATTTCGTATGCATCTTTTCCAAATTCCTTTGTGAGCTTAGCTCTCCAACACAGAGAGCAGTTTAAAGTATAGCAGTGTTCTTAAGACAAATCTTCATGCTGAGATTTGTTATCACAAATTATTCCAAACAAGCAGCCCATTCAAGCACTGCACCCAGCATCAGCTCATGGATTTTAAATATTTCCTTTTTGCCCGGCTCAAAGGAGTTACATTGCTGTTCATGTGACCACAATCATGGTCTGAGGGTTGTAGAGTTCCAGGTAAGCAAGTCTCAACCTGGTCCACATCTGTACAGGAAGCCACTATGGAGACCCTTAGAATTCTCTCTGTTCCACTCTGTGCCAAGGGCAGGGTGCAGCGAACCTCCGCCGTTGGCAGCCTTCCCTCCAGCTAGCGGCCTCCGTGCCATTACAGTTATCTGCAGAGCAGACGGCTCTGCAACTTGGCTAGGAGTGGCAGGATCACACCGCGGGAGTAGGAGTTTGCCTAGCCAGATCTGTGAGGTGCAAGCCCAGAGATGGCATCCCAGCTGCATGGCTGAAGGGCATCTGTGCTGTCCCACTGCTGGAACTCTTTCCAAGAGTGGAGTTCTCATTTTTGATGGTTCTTTTTTCCCCTCCTTGGTACATCAAGACAGAACCTGAATCGAGGGGCTAAGTTCTTTTCTCACGGCAGCCAGAACAGCCCTCTGCTTTCACAATTGGTTTCATTTCCAGGCATTCCTCTCACTGTGTACTGCCAATCCTATGAGTCACCCGCACCTGAGGCTAACTGGAGACTAACTGAAGATATCTTTGATCACATATCAGCATTGTTTAGAACGGAGCTTCAGCTGCACGGACAAACCTGTCTTGCTGTAGCAAGGGGGTGCTCTAATCTTGGAAGTGGAGGCGTTTGAGACCGCAGGACTACTTGGGTGATCTCTGCAGCTCCTCCTACATTTTGTAAAGGCCATAAACACCATGCATTTATCAAGACTCTATCTCCAGTGACTCAAATAACGCAGCAGAACTGGGAGAGTTTTGTCAATGAAAGCAAACCATGAATGGACCAAAGCATGGATTCAGTATAAAGCAGCTGCATGGGCCTGTGAGCTATCAGCAGTGGTCTCCCTGCAGAGATCATCATAAAACTCTGGCAGGCTCCGGAGTATATGAAGAATTGTGTGATCTTTGACCCAAACTAGTACACTGAAATGCACACACAATGGTCCTTCCTGGTTCCCCAGTGGAATATTGCCATGTGGTTCCCTTCTGCTGAAATGAAGGGGGAAAGAGATCCTTCCATGCATTCATGGAGACCTGAGCAACAGATCACTGGAGCATGGAAAGAGAAAAGATCTGGGAGGTAGATCTCATGTGCATACAAGAGCCATATGCTTCTGACACCAGAGCCACTCCATTCTGGTCACTGCCCAGAGCAAATCTGGACAAATTTTCCAGCACAAGTGGGCAAATCTGCTCATTATACTTTCTATTCATCTCCCCTCCCCTACTGTCCTAAAAAAGAAGAATGAAAAACATCAGTTTTCATTGGGTATGTTCCATTTTATTGTTTCCAGTTGGAATTAATGTTTCATATTTCCATGAATCTCTTTGCATTTTTGATATGTGAACATCTCTGCAAACAAACACTCCTTTGCATTCTTCAGGACCCAGGCACTGTTTTAAATTACAATATGAGATTCCAAGGATCAGGCAGGTTATCCTGACACAATTTGGCCCGCGTGTCATGCATTGTTGTTATGTAGTGACTTTTCCATTGTTTTAGTTCGAAATGGAACTTCAGGGCACAGTGGGGCAGGGGCGGGTCTGACAGATCCAATTCATGTATGCAGGGCTCTTCTCTTGGAATATCAATTCTATGAGGGCAGGGTAACAGGCGAGGCTTGCACTAATGCCAGGTGTGGGAGAGGAACCAAGTGTATGCACTTTTTCTATCCTTGCTGAATTCCTAGGAATTCTTCCAGGCTTAGTTTTTGATGCTCTTTTGGCTGGTCGAGGTTTTGGAGATGATTTTCACACCTGAGCCGCTCCCTGTCCCTTTTCCGCTGCTGGAGCTAAAATTGCCTCCTCCAAGGCTCAACCCACTCCCCCCACCACCTCCACCACCGTAACCAAAGGAAAGTCCACTTCCAATGCTGCCGCCGCCACCTCCAAGGCTTAAGCCACTTCCAAGGCCAAAACCTCCGCCGCCGCCGCCGCCTCCTCCTCCAAGGCTTAGGCCAACTAATCCTCCGCCGCCGCCGCCGCCGCCGCCTCCTCCTCCAAGACTGGCAAAGCTGCCACTGCCAAGACTAGGCCCACCAAACCCTCCTCCTAAGCCGACTCCTCCACCACCACCGCCACCGCCACCTCCAGAACTGGAGCTGATGACAGCTGCAAAGGAAGCACAAGCGGTGGATTAGTTGCCCTGCCGTGTAATCGCCACTGCATGGTATGCAAAGATGTTGACCGGGGCTGGAACTGGTTTGCCTTTCCTCTGCTGTCCTAGCTCACCAGTCCTCCCCGCCTGGACCAGCATGGGCTGCAGTCCTCAGGGTAATATAAGGAATACTGGCTGATGGACACGAAGAACTGGGAGGGGCAGGCTGGACCACTGCAGGAGGGTGAGTGGGGCTGGATGTGCCCAGTGCTAGATGGATCTCGGAGCAAAGCCTTCTTTCCATTTCGCCTTTCATCTAGAGTAGGTGCAGGGCCCGAGCCTTGGTGGGGGTGGGGGATAGCAGGGTAGGAGGGTGAGATGTATGATCTGGATCTGGGCCCCTGTACTGCTTTAGAGTGGAAAGAAAGGAAGGCATCGCTGCTAGCTACACATTGAAAGCAATAGATCCATTTCAGCTCAGAGTGTGATTTGGATCTGGACAGTTTTGTGATTACACAAAACTGGGTGGGAGAGCTAATACCCTGGAAGACAGAAGAAGATTCAGGGTGATCTCAATAGGTTGGGGCCCTGGGATGGAAACAACAGAATGAAATTCAGTAGGGAAGGTTTAATTGGAATCCCGCACTGAGCAGGAGGTTGGACCCTCTGCCCCCCTGGCTCCCTCCAACTCGAACATGCTATGATTCTACCATCTCACAACCAGTGGGAGACCAGGAAGGGAGCGAGGCACTTAGCCCTACTTGAGAGGAAGAAGAGGGTTGCCTGGATGGGGGTGAGCGGCAAGGCACGGTGGAGAACGCAGGCTCTGTGGTTGGCACCTGGGAAAGGGAACGAAGGAAGGAGAAAGACATGCAGGCTGAAGCAGCTTCTCTTCCCCCTCCACTTGGTAGCTCAGGGAGGGAGCTGGGATCCTGCGCTTGGCAGTAGGGGCTGCCCACACAAGGGAGCTCAGCTCTGAGTCAGGCCAGGTGAGCGCGCCATCTTCCCAGAGAGCCTTCCTGGTTTGCCACAGTGCACACCAGCCTTCCCATGGTGAGTGTGGGAACCTCACTGAGGAGGAGGTGCCTGCCTTTGCTTGGAAAAGATCCAGCTGGTTCTGTAGGAAGCTGCTGCCTGCTGTGGACTAAGACTGCCCAGGAATTTGTTCAGGTGCTTGATTTGCATGGCATCCTCTGGTCTACTGTATGCCAGGATTCCCTAAATTTTGACAGCAGGGCCTTGGGTTTTGGTTTGCTTCTCTGGATCAAAGCTGCAAGCTCTTCCCACTCTTGTGCTCCAAAAGGTGTGCACACCTATTCTCTATCAGCCGTGGGCACAATCAGCAGGCATCTGCCTTGCAACTCTGGGATGGCCTGTTCCACCGTGCCTTTTGGTCTCCCTCCTTCCTTTTTGCCCAGCCCACTGGGGCTCAGGGGTGGATGCTGTTTTCTGAGCAAAGGTGATACCGCAGCACCTGTCTGCAGAGTGCCAGACCCCCTGGTGCATCCGTGTTCCAGTGGAACGAGTGCCCAAGAGGTGGAGAGAGAGAGAGAGAGAGAGAGAGAGAGAGAGAGAGAGAGAGAGAGCGCGAGCTCGGCATTGCCTGAGGTTTTTTCTTCAGAACGGAACTGCATCCAACACCACTTCTTGGTGTCTCCAGGCACACCTGTCCTCCTTGTGGAGACAGTATATACACAGGGTGGGAGCCACCCTCCCCTGCTAGCACCTGCTCTTTTATTGGAAGCCAGATCGCTGGCATGTTCAAGAAACCATCCATCTGCAATCCCATATTCTCTTTGCAAGGAGCAGGTCCCTCCAAACTCAGTGGTGCTTCTGCAAAATGGGCAAGTACATGCTTGGGCTGTAAATGCTGAAGGTACTTACAGTAGCTCACAGGACCGACTCCTTCTCCACTCAGCCTGTTGAAGAAGGAATTAAAGAACAAATGAGGCCAGGTCTGCCTTTCACAGGGAATAGGCCTTGGCGTTGTACGCCAACGCCGTGCATGCTGCTGAAGAAGCCGGCTGGGAGAATCAGCACCCTTTGCCACTGTCCACTGGGCTGCTTCATGCCACCTCCCCAGGCTGCTGCCGACACCTGAACAGCGTGGCTGCTGCCACCATCTTCCCCGGTTGCAGCCATTTGAAATGCCCGGCCTGTGCCCTCGGGGCCTGCTTCCTGCTCTCTCAAGCCCTCCCCGGAGAGCCTCCTCATGGAGGGACGCAGCCACACGGGGAACTAACACCTGCCCTGCCACTGGGACTGTGCACACTGGCGCTATCGTTCTGTCAGTGGCTGGCTTGAGTTTAGCAGAGACACTACGGAGCAGCGTTCTCAGCTGCAGGGCTACAGAGGGACTGAGAACAAAGCTCAGAAGACCGAGTAACAGGGCTCTTCAGCCTGGTATGTAGGAGAAGTTCAGTTCATCTTGCAAATCACCCAGACTTGACCCATTTGCATCCCTGAACGTGAAAGGGAGCGCATTAAAAACCAGGTTTGTGCATTCCAAATGTCATTGCAGTGTCCTTCAAAAACTTTCTTCCAAAACAACAAAAACGCCTCTGCTCTTTGAAATGCACTATATACACACATACATTTCCATGCTTAATCTTTGAGGGGAAAGTGCACACTTTGAAAAAATGTGCCTAGAAATGAACATTTCCAGTCCAGCAAGAGAGTTTGCAAACAAAAAGGCGAGCAAGCTGAGTCAAGCTCTGAAGCAAAGTTGAATGAGTACTGGCAAGCTCAAGCTTGACTGCTTGCCCCATCTCTATAATGGGACAGAGAATTACCAGATGGAATTTGACCAGCTTTACGTTCCTGAAGAAGGACTTGATGGAGCCCATCTCACCTGCCTCCCTTCCTCTTGCCTTGTCAGGGCTTTTCTACACCTTTGGACACCATGAATAAAGCCAGACCATTTCCATCATCTGCCCCTGGCATCTAGGTACTTGCATCAGCCCTCCCTTCCGCTCCTTTTCCTCCACCTACTGGAATTTGCACCTAATTTCTCCACCCACCCAATTCCCACTGAAACATGAGAAAAACACTCTCAGCTCCTCCTTTCTGTGAATTTGCTGGAACCCTTTATTATGCTCAAGTGCTCCCCACCACCCAAGTATCTCAATCTACTACTAAATATAGGGTACATTTAATCTTTTTTGATCACACACCCAAAAGCAGAGCTCATTGGTTTGACATTGATTTAATTTCAGACAAAGGAATTTTACCAACAAGCAATATAGTTATTTCTTCCAGGAGACTGGAACATAGAGTGGTTTTCCAAGTCTGAACTAGTTCATAAATTAAAACTAGCAGTGCCACTGAATTTCATAATCAATTGGCTTGCTGACTGAAACTTGTCCATTTGTAATGCTCACCTCTGCAGTAAGCTTGGATCAGTGCTTTGTGAAATGGCAATTCCATTCCAATTTGATCACAAGCTTTGGGGTGTACATATCTTGCCTCTAAAGCGATGCAATTTCCACAAATGTGCTGAGCTGGTGGGTAAGCCCTTTTCTTACTCAGGGCAAAATGTGATGATGTCACTTTAACACAACTAATCATTCAGAAGAAACCGCCAGCTAAGTGCATACGCACACCTCTCCCCCATTTCGATCTCACATATGGCTTGGTTTAATATCCAGGTAGTCCGCCAACTCGCTCTCTCTCCTCATGCTAGTTTCGAGGCGTTGTCCATACAGTTCTTTTCTGTGCGCTAAGTAAAAATTACTTTGCAAGGCCACATAAAAATGGCCCATCAAGAAGGAGCTCTATAACGTGGCACTGCACTGTGTCGTGCTGCAAAATGCATTTCCAACCTCTAGCTTCCGAATGCCCTTGATACTGAGCATGTGCAAACGTGAGAAGACCCTTGAAAAAGGACCCTCATCGAGCCAACACAGGAGAGTTCGTTCTGGGATGCTTGCCCAGCATTAGCTAGAATCACCCTTTGGTCGACTCTCTCGGGCTTACCGGCTCTCCTCCCCTTCCAGCAGCTTCCTGTAGGTGGCGATCTCAATGTCCAGGGCCAGCTTGACGTTCATGAGCTCCTGGTACTCCCGCAACAGCCGGGTCATTTCTTCCTTAGCTTTTTGCAGCGCTTCCTCCAGCTCGAGGAGCTTGGCCCTGGCGTCTTTGAGAGCCAGGTCCCCGCGGTCCTCCGCATCACCAATGGCTGTCTGCAGATTGGCGCACTGCGAGGGTGACAGAGCAAGTGCATTTACTGTCCCATTTTGTCATCAACGCTTTCATAGTTACTGTGACTGCCGTTGCTGCTTATTGCCATTCATTTATTTGCTACTCTTTGACGATATAGGATCAATCCCAGTTGGGTCTCTTTTGAAGCAAAGCTACACAGGACTGCTAGAGTCGGCATGCAATTTCTTTCTTTCCACATTTGCTGTTAGGTTTAAGACAGCCGAGCATTCTCTTTCACCCAGTCCAATGATTTCCAACATTTCCCTGCACCAGTTTGTCTGCCAAGAAACTCCTGCTTCCTACAACAGATTGCAGGAAGCATTCCCAGGGGCACAATGCTCATGAAGGCGCTCGCCTGGCATGTTGGCCTCACTGTTGCCACGCCAAAACCTGAGCTGGCACACCAGACTTCCTTGCCATTGCACACAGGCAGGAAGATTGGATACAGTGGGAAGCTTATAATTGCTCACTGTCAGAAATCTCCGTTAAGCATCTGTGGAACTGTGGAGTTCCCTGGAACAGTGTTTGAAATTGATTGCTGTGAGCTGCCAAACTCAGGCTTAAACCAACTCCATGCTAGCAGGACTGGGGAGCTTGTGGTCCTCCAGATGCTGTTGGACTCTGGCTCCCTAATCCCTCCCAGCATGGGCAATGATGGGAGTTGTAGTCCAACAACTTATGGAAGGGTTCAAGCTGCAGGGGGATGGTATTCTTGAAATGAGAGTTTGCTTTTGCCCACGCAGGTGCTAATGCATTGCCTGCTAGGTCTGAGCTAGGAGAGAAGGCATCCAGCTTTGAAAAGCCATTAAACTAGGCTATAGGAAGCCGACTGGTAAAAGGCCCAAAATAATCAGGGACACAGAGGGCCATCTCCACTAGGGCAAATGGGCAGATATCAGGTTTAGTGGATTATTTTGCAGGACCTCTGTTGGCTGTCTGGCTTTGCTATTGTTCCAAATGATTAGAGCAGCAGTTCCCAAACTTCTTTGGGCATAGAACCTTTCTGAAGACATTTTTTTTCCCGCGGAACCCGAATTCCGTCCCTGATTTTTACCAAGCATTGTGAACCCACAACAATCTTCCTGCTTTCATCTGCTCCTATTGCCTGAGTGCTTTGCATAACATAGCAGGTTTGGAAATAAAGAGAAAACATTTTAAATAAAGCAAAAGAATAGAGGGATTATATGGTAATATCCCAATTGAATTCTTTCAGTTATTCCCAACACCACGCAATAGGGTTCCTAGGAAACAAATGACATGATATATGTCCTTGTTTGCTGCTTGGACACCGATTGACGATTGAATTGATGGCCTCGTGTAGTTTCATTTTAAAATCCATTTTACCATTGATTTTTGAGATTTTTCACGGGACTTTTGCAGAGCCCTAGGGTTCTGCAGGACAATTTGGGGACCGCTGGATTAGAGGGCTGTTGTTGTCCTGATGCACCCCTCCGGTCTATGAACCTGACAAGGAAACCACCACCACTGCCAAGTAAGAATGGAGCTTTTCTGGGTGCACAAAGCATGTGAACATTTGCCTGAAGTTTCCTTTCAAGTCCACGCTGGTAGCTCCCAGAACTTGCTGCCAGATTTGGGGCATTTCCAGAAACAGGCCACAACTCCTAATGCCTGCATTGATGAGCAAGGGTGTTGGTTTTCTTTCAGCTTGAGGGCCAAATTCCATTTTGGAGACATTCCCAGGGAGTGTGTGCAGAAATGGGCAGGGTCCAAATACCAAGAACATGACCATACTGGAGCTCAACACTCTTTCTAGCAGCAACTTAGCATCAGGAGAGGTGGTTTAAATGTTTAGAATAGGAAGAAAGACTTGCAAGAAAACCAGGAAACCCCAAAGGATTGATGGTTGGGAAAAGCAAAGAGGGACTGGGGGAAGAGGGCACATCCCGCTAGGAAACCCCAACGGGCCAGATGAGGTTAAGGAGGGCTCAGTTGGGCCTGGGATCCTCCGATTCAACACCCCTTTTAGAGTAAACAGGGGAAAAACAGCAGCCAAACAAAACAACGTAACACCATGGCTGAAACAAACCAGGAGCCTAGCATCCTGTCTCCAACAATGGCAAGCCCAAAACAGACACTGTATGTCCTAGGTTTCCTTACCTGGTTCCTGGCGTTTTCGATTTCTGCCCGTATCCTCTGAATCATCCGATTGAGTTCCGAAATTTCTCCTTTAGTACTACGTAGGTCATCACCGTGCTTCCCTGCTGTGGCTTGGAGCTCCTCAAACTGCAAATGTGGGGGGTAGAGATGGGAGAGGCCGGGGAAGACACACATGCACAGCCCTGGTCAGGAGCCAGTTTGGCTAGAGGGCTCCTGCTGGACTGTGACCACAGGTGGCCCGAACTAGGCAGGATGCCAAATGTTCCTCTGTACTGAAAATGCACATTGTAAAAACACACAAGCCTTTTTTAAAAAAATAATTGTTGGGATCCAAACAGGCAAGGAATGGGGAATGCATGCCTATCTACCCCTGGTGTGCTCCATTTGAAAATTACACCTCTGAAGCTGCCATGTGCATTCATTCATTCATTCATTCATTCATTCATTCATTCATTAATAAGTGCTTGCATAGCCACTGGAGCGTGGTCTGTTCCCAAAACGGAGCCCTTCCAACTCAAATGACCTTACTAGACCTCAAGCGTCATCAGAGGCATGTTGCACTGGAAGCATCCCAGGGGAAGCTAGTCCTCCAGGGACGGGTGGTGGCCTGACTGCTCAGGGACTCTTTGGCAGATGGGTCTGCTCACCTTGTTCTGGTACCAGGCCTCCGCTTCAGCTCGGCTCCTGTTTGCAATGTCCTCATACTGTGCCTTCACTTCAGAGACGATGCCATTGAGGTCCAAGTCTCGATTGTTATCCATGGAGAGGATGACAGCAGTGTCAGACATCTGTGCCTGCAACTGAGCCATCTCCTGAAAAAATATGCAGGTAAGAACCAGGTTAGTAAATGGTTAAAACCCAGCCCTAACCCTAGTCTATTCTGGGATGGTGGGAAGGGCAGGATGAGTTTGTGAAGGGCCAGTATGACCTACACTATGTAAAATGTTCAACTTCCTAGAGAAAAGCTTCACAGGATGTGGGAGCGAGTAAAGGGAGGAGAAACTTCTATGTATTTTAATTTTAGTGTTGATGAATTAATTTCTGTTTTGGAAGTTTTGAATTTGAAACTTAAATCTTGAGTTTTGCATAAGACATTTAGGACAGTGATGTGAAACCCTGAATTTCTAAGTCTCTTCTTCCTCCTCTCTAACTGTAAGAGGACAGAGATTTGCATATAATATACATATGCTAATGTATAGCATAGATGCATGTTTTGAAATAATTTACTTGAAAGAGAACTAGTGAAGTGAAGCTTAAGGCAGTAAAGCGAAGAAGCATTACATTTCCAAATCATTTATAATCCTCTTAAGACCTTTTTATTATTCTGCAGGTTTTTTTCTTAAATTCTGAATTTACATTGACCTAATCGGATCCCCTCTGCCCCAACATGTACATTCCTACATATAGATTAGGAAGGGGGAGGGGGGAATAGAAGTGGGTCTTAGATCAGATCGATCCAGAACATTCCCCTGGAAGCAAAAATCGCAAAAAGGGACCTGTCGTTCTTTGGGAAAACCATGAGAAGGCAAGACTCCCAGCAGAAGACAAACCTGCTGGGGGAGGCTGAAGGCAGGAAAGATGGGAAGACCACCTATGTGACGGATCAGTTCCATAAAGGAAGCCTCTGCCTTGAGTTCACAAGAGCTTTGCAGGGCTGTCAAAGAGCGGGCATTCTGGAGGATGCACATTCCTAGGGTCACCAAAAGCTGGAGATGACTTGACAGCAGGCAACAATCACAACAGACAATGTGTCTGCAGTGGGAAGGGGTGTGCCTAAGTGAGTTGCACTCCTGCTCCATCAGCTGCTGTTCAGGTGATGAGCATCTTTCCAACCTCTCCCTTCCAGCCATTCTTTGTCATGAAACGGGACTTGGACTCGATGACCCTTCAGACAGAAGCACTTCAAAGAGACGTTGCCCTTTGGTGTTGTGACATGATCCATGGAGAGGATCCTTTTGCAAGCAGCCAGCCAAGATTCGGTCTTAAAGTCACATCTCCTGTAGACTACAATGGAAGAGGAGCCCTGAAGCGTACAATCCAGGTTTCTCAGCTCCCTGTAGCTCTCAGCCAATTATTTAAATACCTATACATATTAAGCCTGTTTAGGACTTATTTAATGCAGCATTTAATTTCTCGAGTACGACAGAAAGAGCAGAAGTAAGTTGAGTACCGCTTCAAAGAGAGCTCTCAGGAAGGTGAGCTCATCGGTCAGAGAGTCTACTTTGGCCTCCAGCTCCACTTTGTTCATGTAGGCAGCATCCACATCCTAAAGAGACAGCAAAGAACCTGCATCAGCCTGCATCGTTCACCTGCATCATCCCGGGGAAGGGGAAGCATTCAGAGGGGAGAGGGATAGATGAGGTCCAGATGCTTGCTCTTTGACACACGGATGCAATGCATTTGGAAGCATCTTTAACGAGTTTTCTCTATCTCATACCTCAAAAGAGCCATTTTGCCAGCATGAGGTACAGGCACTACCTTTATGTAGATTATAAAGGATGTGTATATTGACACAGGTCCATTTGCTTTACATTAACATTGCTGAAAACCTCCCAGATAGCTCTGACTACAGGGAACTATATTTAGTAGTAGTAGTAGTAGTTTAAACCCTAGGGTGAGCTCCAGAGGAAGCAACCTTCCATGAGAGCAAGGCTTGTTCTTGTGGAAGACCCCTCCACCCCATTTCTGGTTTTCCTCCCTATATACCATAGCTCAACCCATTCAACTGGGTCTCCTGACTCTGTGTATCATATTCAGAGGGTTGGAGGAGCTGTTGTAGGAAGGAGAGCATGGGGAAATTAATCTAGCTATTCAGGCAGCTTCTTTCCATGGAATGGGACGGGCTGGCATTTTGTCAAGCAAAGAAACAAGGCAACTGCCAGGACAATCAATCTAGCTTAAATCTGGACCCAACCCCTAGTCAGCAACTTATGCTTCTGGAAGGTAAGGTTCAGATGACTCCTTTTGGAATCCATCCCTCCACCCAAGAACGGGGTGGAGACTTCTGGCTCGGCAGTGCAAGCTGAGCCAAGAAGAAGTCTGCAAACACTCACAGAGCTCCAGTTGCACAACCAGCAATTCTCCCTGCCAGGAGTGGCTGCAGCGAGTGTGCGCCAGCCACCGTTCCCAAGGACCTTGCCCACTGATTCACGGTGAGCCAGGGAGGGTTTGTCTTGCCTTCAAGAAATGCTCAGACGCTTTAGGGCAGAGAGAGAAGACACCATCCTGGGTGCACCCTGGTTAACCCGGCAGGCCCTCAGCCCCGAGAGCAGGCAGCCTCACCTTCTTGAGCATGACAAACTCATTCTCTGCCGCTGTGCGCCGGTTGATTTCTTCTTCGTATCTGTTGGAATGAGAAGTAAAACTCTCAGAGGTTGCCTCTCATTTCATGGGCAACTCTTTTCCCTTCAGTGTATCTTTAGGGAATTAAGAATAAATGGCAACAGTGCTGTATTACCAATCCATAGCATTGATTGCACTTATTGATCTAAATCACCTCTGATAAAGGTTCATCCATGCCTGATGTGCTCCTTGGGTGGGGATAATGATGCCCCTGGTGGCAGAGACTTGGTCACCCTTTTGTTATGCTTTGCTCATCTTGGAGATATGCAGAGAACATATCCCCAAAATTACTGGTGCACCACAATTTGGCATTAATAGAACAGATGTGCTCTCTTCGTCCGGTTTCTTTAAGGACTGTCATTTACCAGAAGGGATTGATCCCAGGAGTATAAAGGCTGAAAAAATCATGAAATCCAAAAGTGCAGCCCAAGAAAGCACATCATATTCTGTGCAGCAGCAGCAGCTCACAGCAGCTCACAGACCATCGGTGAGGGTGTTCAAGGGCAGGCTAGATACGCACGCGGTAGGCATGTCATGAGCAGAACCGGCTGGAGCCAGGGGTCAGACTAGATGGCCCGGGAGACCCCTTCTGACTCGCTCTGTTTCTATGCCGTCTCAGCCACAGTGAGGCAGGTGCACTGAAGCAGTGACCTGCCTGCAAAGCAAATTCCTCCTCCAGATGACGCAAGCAAGTGAGGCAACCCACAAGCTCCAGGAAGAGACAAGACCAGCTGCCAGCCAGCCTCATTAGCCAGTCTGACCCTGAGGGAAACTCTCACGTCGACTCGGCCTTCTCTGGACAGGCCTCATTGTTTCCTGCAGACGTGGTGGGAGACAGCCACGCTCGCTCGCTCTGTCACGAAGGCTAGAGGAACTCGCGGTGCAAATTGCTCCTTGCCATTTCTAAATCGGGCGCCAGGACTCCTTGCTCAACCCCATGTCACCTGTGCAGCTCCGCCAGCGGTCCCAGTGCTGTTAGGAATGGGGAGGCGCAATGAGGGCCTCAGCCGGCAGGCTGCGAAATAGTATCCACTTGCTTCTCTCACCTGTTCCAATCATTCGCAATAGGGATGGGTGAGAGTTTAATTCCCGGTTTGATAAAAATGCACCCCCGCTCACAGTGTTCTCCATATTCAAAACAAGACAAGACTCTCAAACTTAAACCAAAGCCCAACATGGCAGGAACGGAAAGCGACAGGCTTGTCTATCCAGGCCCAGGGCTTGGGAGACCTCGTTCTTAGAAGTCTGCATCTGCAAGGCAGGACCGTCAACTGCGTTAAGGAAGAATGAGGCTTGTTGTTGCATTTCCAGCTCTTTGAATTAGGCTTGCTATCTTCCTTTGGGAGAATTATCTAGAATTTATCCAAGATGGAGTCAGGCAGGTATGAGTGGAGGAACCCTGGACCCCTCAAGAACCTTCTAAGCCCTTTTTTAGACTCTCTCTCTCTCTTTCTCTCTCTCCCCCCTTGTATTGCCAGCCATATCCATTCATTTTAATGAGATAAATTGCTATTTTACTATTTCATCGATGGGCCCCTACTGTTTTTGTTCTGATTTTGTTTTGTGAACTGCTTTGGTTTATTTTTTTAATAAAGATAATGCAGAAATAAAGGCAGCACATACATTTTCCTGAAATAAAATAGATATGTGCATATATGTTTAAATCAAACCTCACCATGATTTAGCTTACTTTTAAATTAACCCTTTCCATTAAACACTTCTGGGATCCCCATCTGAACACCTGCAATGTTACTGTAGGTACTGCTCGGAATCTAGCAGCGTCCCCCTCCCTCCCCCTGCAACGCCTTTGTACTAAAGAAAAGGCACTAAAGAAATCCCTTGAGTGATGCTCGTGACAAGCCACTGCTCTGGCGTTATTATTAGTATTGCACTACATTTATGCCCCACCTCTGGCCTCTTGTGAGGAACCCAAGGTGCCTTACGAAGCTCCATTTTACCCTCAGATAGCAGCCCTGTGTCGTAAGCCACAGACCTTTTTCTTTGCAGTGTTCTTTCTTGGCCCAAAAGCACAAAGCACCCAGAATGAATCTCTGAGCATGCGCAGAGCAGTTTGTTGAACCCAATCTAGTATTCACCTCCAGGAACTCTCCTTATGAGCATGCCGGGGCCCCTTCCCTTGCCAAGGGGGGGGCCTTCTGAAAGTGAGCATGCCTCTCTGCCTGCTGATCCCAGTGAGGCTGCCCTCCTCTGCTGATGCTGGGTCAGGGGCTCAGGAGCCGGGGCTGCCTTGTCTGTGGCTGAGGAGCTTCCCTGGTCTGAGTCCTCTCCCACCAGTGCCCATCTCGCTCATTCCTAGGGACGGCCTGCCCACCGGGGGAGCCTGGCCTTGAGGGAAGGCCTCTGCTTCGCTCATCTCAGTGTCCTGGCATGGCCCAAACTTGCAGGCCTCCCCCAGTTTGGCTTCACATCTGCTTCTGAACCTTCTGAAGTCCTGCCAGCAGCCCAAAGCAGCCCCCTTCTCACTCCCCAGACCCTGTGAGGTAAGCTGGGCTGAGAATGAGTGCCTGGCACAAACTCCCCTGGGGAGCTCCACGGCCAAGTGGGGACTAGAGCACAGAGCTCCCAGGTGCCCAGCCTGACACCCTCACCACTGCACCACACTGTCTTCCATGGCTCAAAGGGATGGCAAGGCAGTCGTCTTAGGGAGCAGTGCAAACCTCCTGCTCCACACAGTGCTTCTCCTGGGACTCTGCATGGGCACTCACAGCCCGAGGAATGATGTCCATGTTTCAGAAGAAAGGAGGAGAGGAGCTGTAGCTGAAAGGGAAGGGCCTGCTGGGCACTCAGCAGATCCCGGATTCAATCCCAGTTCCTGCAGGCAGGGCTAGGAAAGTCTCTTGCCTGCAGCCCTGGGAGTCACTGCCACCATTTCATGCTGACCATGCTAGGCTGGACACCTAACTCAGTAGATGGCGACTGCCCACGTTCCTGCGCTTGCAAAATGGACACCACTGGCTCTTCCCTTTTGCAGAGAGCGTGATTTGTGCCCGTGCCCGGTTAGTTTTGGCCCCTGAGGTGGTGCTCAGCAAGAAAATCCCAGCAACCCCTGCAACCTATACTTGGGCAAGCTGTGTTCCCCATCCCATTACGGGAGACTGAACCCAGCTTTGATGCAACATGTCCAGATTCTGATTCACCACATCCTGGTCTGATTCATCTTGTAAAGATTTCCGGGAATGCCATCTAAGTGCTTATTGTAGCATTTGTAAAACTGGTACAACATGCCAGAATTTGCTCAAAATGTGTATGTTCTAGCACATCAAAAATAAATGATTGTATGATTCAATCCTGAGTCAGGAGCCAGTTTCTACTGCTCCCTTTTATTCTTAATTATAATTGTTTCTATAAAATATTTTCTCTGCAAATGCTCATATTAGTCAACATGGTATAGAGTTTTACCTTTTTAGCCACACTGATGCAATTGGCAGTGAGGTGGAAAGTATTTACTTGCATAGCTTGGAGATATTTAAGAAACACCATAGTAATTCAGCGTGTCATGGCAAATTTCAGCTCCGCATTGGATGCAAGGGATAAGCAGAGATCAATTATCTCTCCAAAGTTCTCTTTCAGAACTTTAGTCTCCAGCATCCACTGGAAGAGCAGGAGCAATTTTTGCACTGCCACCTTTTGATGTGAGTTTAATTTCTATGGAGATAATGAATCAAGGGGAAGCAATGTGTCATCAGCATCCATGACACAGTGCAACATAAGCAAAACGGAATGATGCGCTTTGCATCCATGCCTCTTTCCCCTTTCTTTTTCAGCATCAAAGAGATACTGACGTACATGAATTAAAATCTAGATACCAAGTTACATAGACATTATGCATGTTTCTAGGGTGGGGGAATCAATATTAACAGGCTCTAAATTACACAGCGGGAACAGTTTAAGGCAGTTCTTATCGCAGCTGTGCTGCTATTTTGTCTCTCTGTACTCCCACCTCTTGACCTGGGTTTGGATGCAGTATCTTTACTGCACATGGAGAAGGACATCATTTTTGGAACAGGACTTCTCATGTCCTCATGTCCAGAATGACCTTCAAACTACTCTGGAGGGTTGCAGGATCCTTTGGAGGAAATTAGGAAAGTGTGTGAGGAGGAACTGCAGGGGACAGGAGTGGAGGCAACGGGGGAGAAGAGGAAGTGAAAGTCCCTTTCCTTCTGGCAGTGGAATTAAGATGCTTGATCCCAGAGCCTAGAATGACAGGGGGGCGCCTGGCTCCCAGACCTTCACTTACTTGGTCTTAAAGTCTTCCACGAGGTCCTGCATGCTCCGCAGCTCCCCATCCAGCCGCCCTCTCTCATTGATCAGGCTGCTCAGCTGCTTCCTTAGGTTATTGATGTAGGCCTCAAAGAACGGGTCAAGGTTGCTCTTGTTACCACTGGATTTCAAACCCTGCTCCTGCAAGAGGGTCCATTTGGTCTCCAGGACCTTATTCTGCTGTTCCAAGAAACGGACCTGAAGGAGAAGAACGTATTTTATCCATCCATCCGTCCATGCACCCACTCACCGATCACATTTTATTAAGTGCATCTAGCACCCAAACTGCAGATGCCTTTCGGTTGGCTTATAATCCTCACGCATGAAGCTCTCCTACTAACTCAGAGCACGCAGCCCGCCTGCCTGCCTGCTGGCAAATAGCCACAGCTCTCCAGGTTCAGAGGCACAAGTCCTTCTTAGCTCTGCTACGCAGGACTGTACAAGTGGAGCTGCTGGGAATTGAACCTGGGCCTTCCGCGTGCAAAGCAGGTGCTCTGCCACCCAGCTGCCGTCCTTCTCAAAGGAAGGAAGGGCACAGGGGCTGCATGAGTTGTTCTGGACATGCATCTCTTACATACCGATAGCTTAGAGCACGGCCTTCCGTGTTTCTGCTCAGAAGTGAGCCTTGTTGAAGTCACTGGCCTTATGCCCAGTTGTGTCCATTGGACTACAATTTTGGCAGGGATCTAGGTGGAGATTCGGTTCCAGGGTTAATACAGTGAAGCCGTCCTGAGTTAGCTTTGCTGCAGACAGACAGACCAAGCTATTTCTGGTCTCTGCCAGTTTCATGCCTTCACGAGTCCACTCCATCCTGTTTCCACATTTTTTCATTATTATTTTAATATCCGATATTTTAAATTTGAACAATTACTTCCATTGCATACATTATAATATTTTTGTTTTTAATTCAGTATTTTTAATGTTTACATTTCCTAATGTTCTACCTGTAAACAATTTAAATTATGTACATTTTTGTACTTGACTTGGATTCTGTCAATCCTAAGTCTTCTGCCAAAACAGAATTTAATTTAATATTTTATTGTATTAAATTTCATATTTGTACTGTATTAAATAGCAACAGAGCATTTATATTGAAATTATAATTCACTAATAAAATTTCTGTAGATTATATCTTTTCTCTCAATGATGAAGTAAAATATATAAAATAAGCTTCCCATTTGTCATTAAATTCTTTGGCTGGTCTTCTATTTATATGGCTGGTTAATTTTGCCGTTAGTGCATATTCAGCTAGCCTATTTTTCCAATCTTCATTGGTTGGGCAGTCTTCTGCTTTCCCTTTTGTTGTAAGTGTGACAACAACTGTTGTTGCTGTTATCGTACATTTAAATTATTCTTTTATCTTTCTTGGAAGAGTTTTTGGCATGATACTCAATTGCATATTCTTAGCATTCATAGGAAAGGTAATTTTATTTTTTCTGTATTTCAGCATGTATTTCTCACCATTTTTGAACTTTTTACATGCCCGCCACAGATGGTGAAAAGTCCCATCCACTCCCTTGTATTTCCAACAGTTTTCAGTATAATTTTTGTCTATTTTCTCAATATCTTTTTGGGTAATATACCATTGAAAAACTTCCTGTACCACTTTTTCTTAATGCTTGTGTAGCTGTAAATATTACATCTTTCATACATAAAGTTTCCCATTGGTGGAAGAATATTTCTTTCTCAAAATTCTGCATCCATCTTATCATAAATGTTTCAACATGTTCAACTCCTGTATCGTATTTCCTGTTTCCACATTAATAAACATTTTTAACCTGTACAGATATTCATACTTAAATGTGCATATAAATAAAACATTCCAAAAGAGTTTCTTACCCTCTCTCACATTTAAAACTTGCTTTCTCTTGAAGAATATATTTATTTGCTTAAATATACATTTTATATGTATTTGTTTGTTTTTTTAGCCTGGAATTAGAGCATATTTTATTTATTATTTATTTAAAACATTTCTATGCTGCCCCCATCGCAACAAAGCCTTGGGGTGGCTCACAATGAATACATAAAAACATACATAAATAATAATAATATAACAATTTAAAAGGAAAAAAAAACATTTAAAAACCCCTGGTGCATTCTCGGATAAAAATTTTAAAATCCTAATTAATAAAATAATTTAGCAATTAAAATAAGTTTTAAATAAAAAGGTCTTACCCTGGCGCCGAAAAACAAATAACGACAACGCCAGGCAGACCTCTCTGAGGAGCGCATTCCATAGGTGGGGCGCCACTGCAAAGAAATCCCTCCTCCGGGTACTCACCCTCCTAATGTCCTTCACAGAGGGTTCCCAGAGAAGGGAATCTGTTGCTGATCTCAAGGGGCGGGAGGGCATATATGGACGCAAGCGTTCCTTTAGATACCCAGGGCCCAAGCTGTTTAGGGCTTTATAGGTTATAACCAACACCTTGAATTGGGCCCGGACTTCAATCGGGAGCCAGTGGAGCTGACGGAGAACTGGGGTTATATGAGAACAACGCCCAGTCCCCGTCAGCAACCTGGCAGCTCTATTCTGCACCAACTGAAGTATCCGGACCATCTTCAAGGGTAGCCCCACGTAGAGCATGTTACAGAAATCTAATCGGGAAGTTACCAGCGCGTGTGTCACTGTCGCCAGGCAGTCGTTCTCCAGGAAGGGACGCAGCTGATGTATCAGCCGAAGCTGAAGGAAGGCGCTCCTCACCACTGCCGTCACCTGAGCTTCTAGAGACAGCTCAGGGTCGAGGAGCACTCCCAAGCTGCAAACCCTGTCCCTCAGAGGGGGTGCAACCCCATTTAGGACAAGGCCCAAGTCCCCCATCCCGAGGCCCAAGCCACCCACCAACAGGACCTCCGTCTTGTCTGGATTGAGCTTCAGTTTATTGGCCCTCATCCAGCCCATTACCTCGGCCAGGCACTGGTTCAGCACAGCCACTGCCTCACCTGGATTGGTGGAAAATGAGAGGTAGAGCTGGGTATCATCAGTGTACTGATGATTCCGCAGCCCACACCTCCTGATGACCTCTCCCAGCAGTTTCATGTAGATGTTAAATAGCAAAGGGGACAAAATGGACCCCTGCGGAACTCCATGGCACAACTGCCATGGCGCAGAGCCATAGTCCCCCAGCACCACCTTCTGAAATTGGCCATTGAGATAGGAGTGGAACCACTGCCATGCGATGCCTCCAACTCCCAATCCCGCTAGCCTATTCAGAAGGATACCATGGTCGATGGTATCGAAAGCCGCTGAGAGGTCCAGGAGAACTAACAGGGATGCACTCCCCCTGTCTCTCTCCCTGCACAGGTCATCGTACAGGGCGACCAAGGCAGATTCAGTGCCATACCCGGGTCTGAAGCCGGACTGAAATGGGTCCAGATAATCAGTTTCATCCAAGAGTGCTTGGAGTTGTTCTGCCACCACCCGCTCTAGCACCTTGCCCAGGAACGGGAGGTTGACCACCAGTCTATAATTGGCGGCCACCTCTGGATCCAGGGATGCCTTCTTTAGGGCAGGCCGGACTACCGCCTCCTTTAAAGGGGCAGGTACCTGGCCGTCTCCTAAAGAGGCATTGACCACCTCTAGGATCCAGGTCCCAATCCCGTCCTTGGCTTTCTTAAGTAGCCAGGATGGGCATGGGTCTAGTAAGCAAGTGGTAGGACGTACTTGTCCAAGCACCTTGTCCACATCATCGGGCCACAGCAACTGAAATTCATCCATTAACTGTTGACTCGACGGCGTCGATGGCGTCTCCCCAGTAGAATCTGATCCAATAGCAGAGTCAAGCTCGTGCCGAATCTGAGCAATTTTCTCCCTGAAATGCTTGGCAAAGTCGTCACAGTGGGCCTTCGAGGGTGGCACAAGATCTTTCTTCGGGCCTGGATGTATCAGCTCCTGCACCACCCGAAAAAGCTCCGCCGGACGGCATTGTGAGGAGGCAATGGAAACGGAGAAGAATTTCTTCTTCGCCATCCTCACCACCACAGCATAGGCCCGATAATGGGCTCTTAAGTGTATTCGGTCAGAATCACCCCGTGATCTCCTCCACCTATGCTCTAGATGTCTCCCAACCTGCTTAATCGCCCATAATTCAGGTGTATACCAAGGAGATGAACAGGCTCTGCCAGGTGGGAGAGGATGCTTGGGAGCGATCGTGTCAATAGCCCTGGTCATCTCTTCATTCCACAGTTCAACCAGGGCATCGACGGGATCACCAGCCTTGTCAACCGGAAAATCCCCTAGAACTTCCAGGAATACATCAGGATCCATCCGGCTCCATATATTGGTGAAGCCCGAAATCTGAAAGCATCTGCATATATTCCAATCCCTACATTACATGCTGATTGAGTCAGTTCCCTTGGAATGCAGAAGGAGCAACCTCTGTTAGCATCTCTGTGCTTCTTTAAATTTGAAAGATCTGCTAAAGGCGTATTAAGCAGGGATTTGGTGAACTGTGGTCTGAACAGAGATGTGTTGAATCCACCAGATAAGCAGCTGAATCGATGATGCTTGAAACATTGGAGGCCTCCCTGCATTAGGGTTGACTATTTGTCCAATTAGATCAGTATTGTAACTGGCGGTGGTTCTTAGGGAGGTGGTCTTTCTGAAAAACTAATAATGGAGTTCCTCTTACTGGGGGTGTCAGGGATTGAAAATAAGATCTCCAGCAGGCAGACCAAGGGTTCTGCTCCTGAGCTGTGCTCTCTCCTTTATGCAGTGGTTTCCGTAGAAGGAACACTGGGAGAAAATGGAAAGGGAAAATGCGGGGAGGAAATGTGAAGATGACTGAGACCGGGAAGGGCAGCAATAAAGGAACTAGAAAAGAGCCACAAGTGTAAGGATGTTTCACTGGAGATCAAAGCCAAGATCATTCACATGATTGTATTCCCAATCACTACCTATGGGTGTGAAAGATGGATGGTGAAGAAAGCTCGCAGGAAGAAAATGGATGTGTTTGAGACATGGTACTGGAGGATTGCGTTGTGAATATCCCAGATCAAATCAATCCGGAGCTTTCCTTAGACGCAAATATGGCAAAACAGAAGCTGCCGTACATTGGACACATCATGAGAAGGCCAGACTCCCTGGAGAAGTCCATCATGCTAGGGAATGTTGAAGGCATAAGAAGAAAAGGAAGGCCAGGTAGGAGATGGAGTGACTCCAGCAAGGAAGCCACGGCCTGGAATTTAGAACAGCTAAGTGGGGATGCCATGGACAAGACATTTTGGCAGGCTTTCATTCATACATCACCATAAGTTGGAGACAACTTGATGGCACATAAGAACAACAGATGTTCATTTCGCTTCTGCACCATGGACAAACTCCAGATCCAGATTCAAGGAAAAAATTAAAGACAGCTAAAATAAATTTTGGGTGGAAGAAAAGCTTAAGAAAATTATCTTAGCTCTCAGCTGCTTCTCTCAATTCACATTTATCTGGACATATTTGTCTATGTGTTTATCTGCACGTATGTTGATCAGGCACAGCATCTCTTTCTCTCCTCCCATATTATCTTACGGTAGTTGAATGAAATCTCACCTTGTCAATGAAAGAAGCAAACTTGTTGTTGAGCGACTTGATCTGTTCCTTCTCCTCTTTCCGAACTTCTTGGATGGAAGGATCGATTTCCAGGTTGAGAGGTGCTAGGAGGCTTTGGTTGACGGTCACTTCTTGGATGGTACCAACCCCAGGCGAACCGGCACCACCACCAAAGCCAATGGGGCCTCTCGCTGCACCAAGTCCCCCACCAAAACCAAATCCTCCTCCTCCTCCTCCTCCTCCTCCTCCTCCTCCACCAGAACTACCAAACCCAAACCCGCTACCTCCACCAATGCCATATCCACCACCAGATCCACCACCAAAACCAAACCCGCTACCAAAACCACCTCCTCCTCCTCCACCACCAAGTCCACTGCGCAGGTTGCCAGCTCGGCTGATGGAAATTCGTTTTGTGCCTCCAAGATTATAAAGGCTCCTGCTGCCAAAGGCACCTCCTCCTCCTCCGCCGCCGCCACCACCACCACTACCAATGCTGATCCTGCCAAAGCCGCCACCACCGATGCCTCCTCCACCAGCCCGGGCGAGAGAGAGTGAGCTGAAACCGGACCTATTTCCACCTGGGACAATGGCCGAGGCTGCACCGAAACCCTTGCTGCCCCCACCTCCACCTCCTCCTGCCCTGACAGTGTAAGACTGCCGGATCATCTTGGTCAGGGGCCTCTGAGAGACGTTGCCACAGAGGAGGAAAGCCAGAAGACGCGGCTTTGGTGGGAGAGCGTGTGAGCCGGCTGCTTTTATACTTCCGGAGACCTGGGCTTGGCTGCTTTAGGAATCAGGAGATCAACTTAGTGCACTCATGGTTTTGACATACCTGGAAGGCAGGTGTCCAACTGAGCTTGTTCAATGCTAATTGAATATAACACACCTACGGAGTTATTTGTTGTTTGCATGGCCTGAAGCCTTTAATACCTGCAAACCTGATTGGCTACTAAATGCTTCATTATCTAGCCGGAAGCTAAGAGAATGAATGGGCTTCCATTCACAGAGAGGGAACCGGCAAATTCCATGCAACGCCATGGACATGCGCCTATGGAAACGATGCATGGGAACAGCAGAAACGGGACGATCAGCTCTCTGCTCATTGTTGCTTCCTAAAACATTGTCTGTAAAGTTCAGCAAATCACATGTCTGGAGACTGTCAGTGCTACCATCTTCTCCTGGAATGAGTAGCAGTAACTTCCAAGCTTTTAGGCGGGATTCCCCCCTGCCCCACCCCAGTCCTAACTAGAAGCCTGGCACTGAACTTGGGAAAGGTAGAGAGCAAGGCAACTAAGTATCAGTGGCACCAAGGTGTGGGGAGCGAGCAGATGGAAGCATCCCACCCTTGGCCATTTTAATTACCTGCTTTATTTAAATTCTGTCTTAGCTGCCGGGGGACGCCAGGGCAGTGTGCAACAGCCTCACAAATCCTTCACAGAAAACGCGAACACAATAAAGCGACCAGCTTTGCAAGCGTCTCCCTCCCCTGCTGCTGTTTTCCATGGACTCCTTGAAAGAATGGCGCAGGATGCGCATACACTGCATCAGTGCATTGCGATGTGATGATCGCTACCTGGCTTTGCTGGCTTTAACAGGGGGTGAGACCCTTGCATGGAGAGCAAGCCAACGAACTGGGATGGGCTGAACGGACCTTTCCTGTTCAGAGGCAGTGTGGCTCTCTGCCCTATGTGAACAGGCTGGGAGCAAAGGCAGAACTTGTGAGCTTCTTGGGCAAACCTGGCTAATCACAACAGATGACTGAGAAGTTAATTTGTGCCCGATTAGGAGTTGTACCCGGTTTGAAATTTCCAAACTGAGCATGGACTTGGCCACAATCTGTGGTTGAAACTGCACATTTTATTTGTATGCATTTATCTATTAGATGTATATCCCACCTTTTTCTTTTTGAAAGAGCTCAGAGTGGCTTGCATCAGTCTCCTCCTGCTGCTCTCAGTCTTATCCCCACAGCAGTAACTCTGTGACTGGCCTGCAGTCACCCAGCTGGCTCCGTGGCTGAGCGGGGACTAGAACCCAGGTGACTAGCTCTTCACTGTACATTTCCATGTTTGCAATGGAATTCACACCCCAGCTGCTTTAAATGTGCACAGGAACAATGCGCATCGATATAGCTTAATCAGTGGGAGAAGAATGCATAAATTTCAAAGACACACATGATTGATACGGACATTAGGAACAATTACATATGAATATGTACATGCATGTTCACACAAAAAGACAAAAAGATCTTGCAATCTGATAAGGCAGCAAGTCACAATGAGCTATGAGATAGAATCTGGGGAAGGCCCTGGCAGGCACGCTCCTGCTTTGCTGATTCATGCATTCTGATTCTTTGCTGATTCTGCTGACGGCTTGCTGGATAGCAGTTTGCGTCAGTCTCTTTCTGTATCTTGCAGATGGGTTCTCCTGCTGTGTTGGACTGCAGCTCCCATTATCCCCAGCCAGCCAGTTGGGGAAGGCTGCCCTGTTTGCCATCGGTTCCAAGGGGCTAGATGAGCATCATGGTTCAGGCAAGAGGCTTATCCGTGCGTGTGAATCCGCTGCAAAAGGATGCACCTGCTTCCACCAGTGGATCTTTCTCACTGGACGGGGGGGCGGGGAGAGGAGAGAGAATTTGGGTGGTCGCCTGTCGAGAAAGGCCTCTTTCTGAAACAAGGGCTGCAGAAATGCCAGGAAGGTTTTGAAAGACGGCTGCCTGCAAGCAGAGCAATGAATGCACATTGCTGGGACTTAACCATCCGTGAGAAAGAAAGCATTTCCCAGCATAATCCGACCTGTCCAGCAACACAAGAGCTTGGAGGGCAGATGGAGCATGTCATCTTCAGAGTCCTGGTGGTTCATTTCTCTGTGCTTGACTGTGGGGCACAGGATCTGCTTTAACACCAGTCCCTTGCTGCTTGGGGGGCTTTGGTCTCACAGAAGGTGTCTCTGTGCCGCCGGGGCAGAGGAGAGGGAAGGTGAGGCAAGCCGGAGAAGACAAGCAGACCTGTGCAGGGAGATTTTTTTTATTTTTTTTATTTTTGTTTGCATTTCCTCTTTCTTGGCGGGGTCCCAGTCACCACCCTCTGGTGGGTGCAGCACTTCCAGAGACAGCCAAGCCAAGCCAAGCCAAGTGTTTACTCCAAGGCCACCGGCAGCCCCTCATGCTTCAGAATGTGGCAACATCCGCTTTGGTGAAGCAACTGAACATACAGGTTGGCTTATGTTGACGGAGGCAGGCCAGGGAACAAGAGAAAGCACAGGAAGAGAAGGCGAGCGCTGCTGACGTGGGTCTCTCTGGAGCAATCTGTGAGGTGTTTCACATTCCACCCAGCATGGCAATACCTGCTTGACAGCATGTGAGTGCTCAAGGGCTTGGTCAACAAGAACCTCACACCAGGTCGTGAGATTAGTTTGGTCACTGGATTCTTTGTACGGAAATTACCACTTATGACAGAACACGGAGGAGCGAGCTTTGTTCTCTAGCGCCGCATTTGAGGGCACGGCTTTTTGTCGTTCACGCTTGGATAGAAGGCAGACTTGTGGCAGTTGATGTGGGAACAAAAATATGTTTTTTAAAACATTAGCTGTTCCGGGAAGAACATTTCTTCATTCCACCATCAGCAGATCAAAAGGACTATTGTCAAAAGTTCTCGGGAACTGCCTTGCTTCAACGCAATAGAATCATAAGAAAGCGGGATGGAGCAACTCTCACTTGCATTGCCCCAGAACAGGACAAGCATCAGAACACAGTTGTCTGTCAGTTTCTGTACTTCCCCAAACTGTGCAATTCAGCTTTGATAATACAATGCAAATCATTTCACAGTGAAATACATATAGAAATCTAAACTTTGGGGGAAGGTGCATAAAACTGTGGAAGTTGTGAAAAGACCATCAAATATTGTGTATGTTAAGGCTCTGTTTATTGCACTTTCATATGGAAATAGAATGAAACAGACTTATGATTGTACGCAGACTAAAAGTGACATGGGTTGGAAATACATTGATCCATCCATCCCTGGGAAATACTGTATACGTGTCTGTTAGCTTCTTTTAAACAATTTACTTTTACAATAAAAGCATGTGCATTACTCTAGGAAGCTTTTAAAATGTCTTTTCTTGGGACAGACTTTATAATTCCTGGATGATTCCATTTAATGTTGCCTTCCCTTTTATCCATCCTACATGTCTCTTTAAACACTGCAGGAGCGGGGGCACCCCAGCACAGGGGTCAGCCGAATCCTTTCCACTCATCTCCACAACGCCACACCAGGAACAAGTTCGGCCCTTCGGTCTTGCTGTGCAAGGGCTGGACGAGTGCATGGAACTGACCAGAGCTCGGCACCCCTCGCCTCACCGGGAAAGACCCCACTCATGGGTAGGGTAGGTGTGTTGTCTGGAGCAATACCAGGCCTGCTTGCTGCCATGTCCACTTAAAGGGGGCAGGAGGGCTGTGAGTGCTGGCCCCCTGAGGCTTTGGGGAGTCCGACCAGTCCACCTTGACTGGGCTGGACTGGGCTGGATTGGAGGTGCTAAACCTCAGCCCCAAAGGCCCCATGTGAGCCACCTACAGTCCTGATCTGGCTCTTCAGGACCCCCAGGGCAATACCCTTTACCGGCCCCCACTCTTTCACCCCAACCAGTGACTGACTGGGGACTTGCCAGCATTCTCGGCCTCGAGCTTTTTCCACATTCTGCAAAGCCAAGCCGAGCAGAGTTTTGCAGCAGGTTCGTGCTGGGCGGCAGGCGCTCTCATGGGAAACAGCAGGCGTGGGTCCCCCTGCACTGTGCAGTGCGGTGCCACTCGGTGACGGTGCTGGTGCCAGTGCCCCCCTGCTCACTGCCCCGGCTATGCAGGCCGGCAGATCCGGGCCTCACAGCCACAGGGGAGGCAGATGCTGCCACTGAACAGTCGGCGGGCTCCACGAACAGTGGGCCTCACGTACAGGCCGCTGCAAGCTGCAGACTCAGGCAGGATGGGCGCAGTGTCCTCCCCGCAGGAGCACGGCTCTGCGGTCCCATCCAGCAACGGGTGAGGAGACCTGATGCTCTGCCTGCAGCGGCAGCTTGGTGCAGACGCAGCAGTTCGGCACGGAGGCTCCTGGTCCGGCAGCCGGCTTCTGTGGGAAGGGCCCGAGGCCCCGGAGCAGCCCCTTGCTTCTCACACTGACGGTCCAGGTAGAGTTGGGAAATCTCCTAGTGAACCCCTGGGGAACTGGGGTGCTTTGGTAGCCCCTTGGGCAAGACACCCTCCACAAGCACCTCTCCACACGAGCCCAGCTCTCCCACACCCATGGTCCACAGGTGCTCTGGTCCTCCACCCTCTCTCTCATCATTGCTATCACTTCCTTTCTTAGTGGGCAGAGAGCTCGGGAACCAGGATGTCTCTGCAGCTGGTCCAGCACCTCCTCGCCACCAGAGGGAGGAACAGGTGCACAAGCAGCCCGCAAGGGGAAGGCGTGGAGGAGCTCCTGGAGCAGCTCCGGGCAAGTCGGCTCTTGGCAGCCACCCAGCTGGGCCTACCCTGGAATCTGGCCCTGCCCCGGAGAGCTGCTGCCAGCCCGTGTTGACGCTGCCTGGCCACACGGAGCAGAGGTCTGACTCCGTAAAAGACAGCTCCCTACCTTCCTGTGATTCTCTCTTGCTAAGATGGTCTCCAGCTGCATGCT